GAAACTTGTCACAGATTAAAAACATTCAGATATGGGTCGGTTGAAACTTTGAGCACCGGTCAGATCATCTAATGCAGATGCCACCTACAGTGGTTAAGAACACTTGTAAATTCATCAACACCTAGCGATAGAAAAGCGACTCCATAATTAATAAATAGGTTATAACTACAAAAATCTAGACGGCTGTATACGACTCCTGAATCTACGTAGCTTGTCGTCATTCGATCAACTATCCAGTGACTGATTGCGTTGGCTCTGAATAACGGGCTCACGTTTTCCGAGTCCACAATGTGAAACTTCACAACTGAACGAACAGGTCAGTTGGACAAATACCGAAATGGGTCCAGCGATTATGTGCCCGACAAGCCTGACATTGTTGGCCTGCGCCAGACAATCTCAGGCTCATCTAACCAGCTAACTATAGATATCGTCGCACAGTTTCCTGCCTCGAAACCAAAGCTCTGAGGTCGACAACTCCCCATGCACAATCATGTCCATTAATTTCAATCAAGTTAGTCATCTCCCTAACCTCCATACAGATTCACGATTCGTAGGCTTCAGGAATACGTGACAACAAGCTCCGAAGAAATACTTCTAAATACTAGCAGTCAAGCTGTTACATGTGTGGGTGTGTGTATTATATATATATATATATATATATATATATATGTGTGTGTGTGTGTGTGTAAATAATTTTTTTCATTCACACACACACGTACACACATTCTGTTTTTGCCAATGCCGAGAAGATCTGAATCTTGCAGAGCAAAACGAATGCGTCAGAGGTGTCGGCATCTGCTCAGCAAAACCTCGACAAGTTGATATCAATTTGTGCATTTATATCAAATGTCAAATTGTAATTGAAGAATGATCCAGATTCTAAATCTAGCACTGAATTCTGAAGTCTAGTTGCCGAGGTTTGCAGTAAGACTAAAGCACGTACTGTCCATGTGAGTGATACAGTGACTGAACATTGCCTCACACATCAGTAATAGTGACCACGCCGAATTACTAGTCACTGGGCTTCTTATACTCGCGTGTGTTTGTGTAGAATGAGGAAAACTTTAACACTTTTTTGTGTGTAATTTGATGCTCATGATTTCTATTGGAATGGAATGTTTAAATGATGATGTCAAGGATATTAGTGATCAAAAATAAAGTAGTAATAATACACAATAAAATTAGGGATCATGTAAGTGGACACCCCTCTTTTACTAAGTGGACACCTTATGCAACTCACACACAATAAAACTCTTATTTGTATTAAAAGTTTTAGGATAAATTTACAGTAAAAATTTCTCTAAATTAAATTAATAATATTTTCTAAGTCAATGAAAAAATCATTCAATATTCTATTATGAATATTTTAAATTAATTCAATAAAAAATAATAAAAAAAAGTACTATAAGTCAATGTACATAAATCTTTTATCATAAATAACTATTTTACTATGTGCATGAAGGGATGCATGGCATGGGGATGTTTATACAATAAAAAGATAGTGTCTACCTAGAAATAATATAAATTTATGTTATCTTACATATAAAGCCATTAGTAATTTAAAATAATTGGCAATTTTACTAAATGGAATGAACCATTACATCAACACAAAGTTTCTAGAATCTTTACCAAAAACTATTTATATAATCATATTTTTGAAAGTGCTTCTATAAAACTACATATCACTAAATTTTAAAGAACGTTAAATATAAAATTTATTAACCTATAATGATATAAAAAATAATAAATAAAAAAAGTTAAATAAATCAATAATGCTTTTAATTTTTATATAATAAAAAATAGAATAAAAATATTCTAAATAATTTTAATATATTAATTACTTCAAAATATTAGTAATATCATGTAGCAACCTATTCACAAGCACAAAGGCTGGCTTATTTGTTGTTAAAGTTTATTCTAAATAAATACTTCTGCAATATAAATTAATAATTCTAATTAAAATTATTCATGTATATAAACTTATATTCTTTAGACTAAAAATAATATTAAAATTAAAATAATTTATTATTTTTATTAAATCTGATAAAAATAAAATATTAAAATAAGAAATGGCATTGAAAAATTATACTTTTAATACTAAAAATAGTTATTAAAGAATTTTTTCTATAAAACCAAATCCATTAGCAAAAAAAACTTCTAAAAACTATAATACGATTATTAATGTAAATAAGTATATTTTTATTTATTAAGTACATAAGCGTATATATATATATATATATATATATATATATATATATATTAAGCAAATATTTGTAGTCATAAGACTCAAGTCCATCTTTATATCAAAATTAAAAATTATATTGTATGATGTCAAATATATATATACATATATTAAGATAAATATACAAATGATGATATAACCAAAAATATTTTATATGACCTTTTGGAAATATTGTTTAATAAAATAATAGTTGTTAATATATATAATAATATAGTAATTTTTTTTTGTTAAACATATGTATGGTTGCAATTTTTTTTAAGAAGAAAGTTACTAGTCACACTATTTTTGCTTTATATTTAAGACTTTAAATAATATATATAGTCATAAGATTCAAGTCCATCTTTATATCAAAGTCAAAAATTATACTGTGTGATGGTCTTGTGGACTGCTTAAATTAGATGCTTTATAAAAAAAAAATTAAAAAAAAAAAAAAAAAAAAAAAAAGTGATGCAATTTAAAAATTATCAAGAATAAATTTAAGACAATACTTTTAAGCATTAAAATGGTTACCTATATTCTTGTTTGAGAGAAAATTAAAATTTTAAAAATTAGAAGAATCAATTATAGACAATCTACAAATAATTTTTTGTAATCCTTTTCATTGCTAAATATTTATTTTCTAAATCAATATTAATGTATATTAACATTGATTTAAAGATCTATTATAGATCCTTTAATTAATTATCTTAGTATAAAATGATTAAAAATTCTACATAAGAAATTTTATTTTTTTATAAAATCATAATTATAATTATTTAAAGGATATCATGTTTAATTCACAAACTATTAAAAATAACTTTAGTATTATTAATTATTAAGTGAAAATTGATTGACCAATGAAAAAATCAAAAGGTATGAAGTCTTTACTGTATTCTTCTAAAAGTTATGGCTATTATAATTAGCATATAAATATCATAAAAATATCAAAATTACCATTTACTTAAGTTATGATTATAACATATTAAAAAATTATTGTATAAATCTACTACTATTTATAAATTAAAAGTGAAAAATAATAAATTTTCTTTCATCAATCAAATCTCTATTGTTATTCAAATAGTTAAATAATTATACTTTAATAAAACTTATCTTAAATAATAATTAATAAAAATTATCTTAAATAATACATAAGATAACTAGAATTATATAAAAAAGTATAAAAATACTTCAAATAAAAAAGAAAATAAATAATATCTTAAAAATAGCCAAAAATAAGAAATAAAATTATCTTATAACTTTAAAACATAAATAATAATAATTTTTAAAAAATAAACCATGGAAATCACTTATAAAACCTAATAGAGTTGGTACAATTGATCTATATTCTATTTTTGAATAATGTTATATTTTTTGATTTTTATAAAATATTTTTTCATATCATATAGTTATGTTTCAAAAGTCTTTGTTTTTTTTTTAAAAAATTAAATTAAATTAAATTAAATATTTCTCTGTAATATAATTATGAATAATATTGCTTCTCTTTCAGGTAATTTCTTAATTAATAGTACTTGCAATAATTCTTTTTTTCCATAGAAATATTAAATCCTTTCCTAAGTTTTTTTCTTGGTATTTTTTAACCAAATTTTCATTGCAAATTTGAACTTGTGCTTGTTTTTGTAGAAATAATTGTCTAAAGAAATTTAAACCATTAATTTCTTGGCAAATATCATTTGAAAGTAAAAAAAATGTTTAAAAAATAACACTTTTGATTGCAATTTAATTGACTTCCAAAGTGGCATCTTAAATTTAGCTAAATGCAAGAGGTTAATTTCTTATTAATAGCAAACTTCTCATTTAGCAGTAGATAGATCTTTACACATAAAAGTTTTAATACTCTCTTATGTATGTGTAAAAATTTGATTCTATTTTATTCAAAAATGTACAAAAACAAATATAAAAATTCTACAAATAAATGTGGTCAGTTAGAGCTTTATTGTTGTCAATGGTATTAGTAACAAATCTGTACATGCTTTTAGAATGAGTTGGTAAAAGGGCTAACATAATTATCTACATATTACAACATTTATTTGTCTTTTAATATGGTTATTTCTTAACAATATATCATTTTATTTATGTTTATTTTTTAAAAGGTTGAGTATCTTAATTTTTAATTTTTAAACGTAACAAAAACTTGTATAAAATAACCATTGATAATGATTTATTTACTTTGCAAGTATTACAAGTATTGATTTTCAAAAATTTACACAAGAATTTGAAAACTTTGAAATCTTATCTCTTCTACTCTTATTCCTTTGTCTTTTTTGAATGTGAAAATGTCTTTAGCAATCACAAGCTTGCTCTATACCTTTGTAAGCATTGACAAGTTTTGTTTCTATGTATATGCTTTTCTTCATAATTCATTTATCCAGCTTCTTGGGTTTTTTGCTCCTGTCCCCCATTGCTAACATGGTACACAACAATAAAAATAAATAAAATAATTGATAATTGATAAAGATACACATGCTCAACTCTTTATTTTCTAAAACCATTTCAAACATGAAAACGAACTCCTCTTTTGTCCCAAATATTGTCATAGTCACATTTGTCATTGGATTGCACGAGAGCACCATTCAAGGGCCCCATGTTAACATCCCAAAATATTCATCCAAATGTGCCCATAATTTTCATCCGAACGCAAAGGCACATGGGTCGGTAGACGCGGGGCAGAGGACCTGGCGGTGGTGACGACGCGCGTGGATTGCATCGCAACACTACAAATTTCACGCCCAATCTCGTCAATTTTACTTGGTCCTGAAGGAACCCAAGGCTTTGGAACTCAAGAAGCGAGAGTTAGTTAACGGTGGTGGAAGGGCGGATTGAGCTCTGAAAAAGCGCCGCGGTGGAGTATTGCAGCGTCGGATTCCGTGATGGAAAAATAATTGTTGATGAACAGAGGCACGGACAAACCCAGAAGAAAATTTCGACCGTGGACTGGTCTCCGCTGGCGAAGATCGGTCCTGCTCGGGATTTGGACTTCGGTGTTCATGCTGCAGAAACGAGACAGTATCAGGGCTTCACGGAAATAGCAGCCTGGGCTCCAAAGCCTTCACAGGAAGTGGGATTCTGGACCGGAACGCTTGCTTCTCGATAGATCCGGAATGCTGAGTCCTCCGTTGAATAAACTCCCCGTGACCATTTCCTCCTCCTCTTCCTCCCCTCCCCCTCCTCCTCACTTTCTGGTTCGTTCTCTCACACTACACAGTTTCAGCCTCGAAATCTCGTTTGCATTTTCCAAAAGGTGCCGTCCTTTGCAGACTTTGGGATTCTAGGATATTGAGTTTGCTGGGAGTTTGGAGTTCTTGATTTGTGATGGGAGGTTGTGGTTGATGGGTTCTGATCTGGGGTGATTGCATTGGAAGTATTTCAATGGAGAATGTATGGGTGCCGGATTTATACACAGGCGGGACTTCTTTTGTTTTGTTTTTTTCGATTGTGGTTTTTAGAGAAGAGGGAGATGGATTCGGGCGTTGGCATGGGATTTGTGAGGGCTTTTGGGTTATGTTTGTGTCGATACAGCTAAGAAGGGTTATGAAACTGAGGAGGGGAATGTGGTCGCGGAGGAATGTCGCTCGGGGGTCGGGATTTATCGGATCTGCCTTTCGTGACCCAGCCCTGTGTGGATTGTTGGAGTGAATTTTTCTTTTGTGTAATTATGGGTTGGTAATTTCGTGCAGAGGAATGTGATGTTGAGGATTTAGGGATTCACAGAGCGAAAGTTTTGCGTCTTTCAATGATTCTGGGTTTGTGCTCTGTAATCTAGGAAGTTGGTCGGTTGGAGAGTGAATCGGCATAGAAGGTTGTGAAATCACATTGCAGTCCCTCTTTAAAATGTAAACAGTATATAGTAGGGTTTATTCTTGGATCTGTGCGATTATCTATTCTTTTTTGGTCGAAGATGAATTCGACATGGATGCTGTCTGTCTTCTTCTTAGGGAAGAGGCAGTGAAGTCTTGTATTTAAGACTTGGAGATGCAGCACTTGTCAATTCAGTCCCAGAATGCACTCATGTTATATGCTTAAAGGTAGTGATCATGAGTTCAAGCTAGGTATGAAATGCCTTTTTCATGTCATCGTTCCTATCACGGAATTGAATGAAATGGATGTGTAATTTTTCGAGTAGCACGGCTCAGGAATGATGAGTAGCGTACAGAACGGGGATTTTGTCCAGCTTTTGACGTTGCAAGTGATTAATTTATACACTTGACCTGTTATTTTTTAAGTAAACTCTAGTCCAAGTGTTCCAGAAATGCAATGAGATCATCTTCCCTGTTGATGTTAGGACCGTTGAGAATCAATCCGTGTTTGATTACTGTGTCATCATGCGAACATGTTACGTGGATCTCAAGGAATCACAGGGATTCTCATTCTTCTTTTGCAATTTTCCCGATGTTTTCTCTAACTTAAACCTTCCTTTAGTTCCGATACCTGATGTTTTGAATTTGTCGTCTACACTCTACATCTTATTGCGATTGCTGAGAATTCTCAGTTGTGAATTTAAGGAACAATATAGTAAGAGAGGGTTATCATTCTGGATTCGAACCTTGAAGGTCTAGTGCGTGGTAAAATATCATTTTCCTGGATATTACGCAGACTCTAACTTCTTCAAGTCTTTGAGTTGCAATGTGCAGGGTTTTCTACAGTGTATAACTTGTGCTGTATTTAACAAGTTAACAGGGCGTTTAAATGTCTCTATTAGATGGCGTAAGTGATTCAGAAGAGTTGTAACGAGTAGGTGATGTTCGTCCTGGACATGTAAGCTATTTTGAAGTACTATGACTATCTTTGTCTGTGAGGAGTAGTAATATGATACCTGATTTGACGTAGGCTGTGGTTGTCATCTTATCCATCCACACACTTTACTATCTTTAGACACGGCGATTTTCTTACGGGCTCCAGGAAAGAGTATGCATATATTAGCGTTTGAAGAGGAAAAGGCAAAGAAATGCGTTCTAAAACGGCAGAGATGCCGAAAGGCGAGAATTCTGGTGGAACTCCCGCGGAACCACCCTTGATTGATTTCGGCAATGATGACCATTCATCTCCGTTTTGGTCTCAGCCCTCTCCTGAACAAGCTCAGGATGTAGATCCTTTCAGTTGGACCACCGACGAGCTTTTCATTTCAGCGACACCCAAGAATCCATTCGGATTTGAGGGGCTATTTTCTGCTGCGCCAGTTTCAAATGATCCGTTTGAGCACTTGGCCAATATTAACTCTGTCAATGGATTTGCAGCACAAAATTCCGCGCAGCACAATTTGTCTCAGGGGTTTGGGGTGGGAATTGATTTACTTACAGGAGTACCTCCCGTCGCCACCCGACCTGGGGTAGGGGACGGATGGGTTGGATCTGGCTTTGAGGAACCTGTAGCCCCTTATCGACCCAGTCAATCCTTGGATGCAAGATTTCCTGCGATCCCTAGTGATGATACTTTCCCTTTCGACAACAACCCCTTCAAGGCAGAGGTTTCAACAACCGCTGCTCCGCAGCTTTCACCTTTCTATGAGGAATTTTCCTTCAAGGATGCTCTTTCAGAGGAGCTTCCTGTTGCAGAATCACCGACTTTCGAGGACGTAGGGAATGCGGTGGATTGGACATCAATCACGGAATCTGAAAGAAAAGGCTGGGCTCATGAAGATTGGGCTACACAATCTCAGCAAAGAAGAGGTGAAACAAGTAGTCCAGAAAATATAGCAGATTTGCATATTACGGAAAAGGAGTTTAAACGTCCAGTTTCTGGTCAGAAAAGTCAGAGATCTGTCGTGTCGGTGACTGAAAAGGATGGTCTAGTTTCAGCCAAAGCAACCGTTGCCCAGCCGACTCTTCCACCCAAAAAACCACCCCCCCAGCTACCTACACCAGAATTATCGCTTCCTACAAGACCTAGTGCATCCAGTGCAAAGAGTGCAAGACTACCGCCCGAGTTTCTTGCTTCTGGAGGAGGAAGGGGTGTGTACCGGGCACCATCAAGAGATCTGTTTTATGCAGGGAATCCAGTAGCTCTGGAGCTTCGTCCCCGTCCACATAAGGAGATGAATGAGTCAATAAAGACGGCACTTTGTGCAGGTTCTTCTCTGTGGGCAGCTTTCGACCATGGGCTGAAAGTCTGGGACATAGAGGATGCTTCCAGTGGTGGCAGCGAAGGTAGTAATAATTCACCGGGAGATGAAGACGCTGCTGCGTACATTCCTTTGGTTGTGAACTCAGGGGCCACTATGTGTCTGGCTATGGATAATGCCAATCAGATTATCTGGTCTGGACACAGGGATGGTAGATTGAGAGCTTGGCCGTTGAATATCCGTGATGGAGGCTCTCAAGGAAGAGATCAAATCCTGGAATGGGATGGACATCAGGCACCGGTTACTGCAATCACAATCACATCCTACGGTGAGCCTCAAACTTGGTTATTACTGGTATTTATGGGAATATAGTTTGTTGCATAGATCTTATGTTGAGCCTCCCTCCTAAGCTGTTTGATTCATCACAGTTTGTAAGAATACGCAGTGTAAATCGGAATCTTTGTAAAGCTTTTCGAAGTTTTTGGAAAGTATAATTGACTCCTAGTTTTTTTCTTTTTCTTTTTCAGGAGAGCTCTGGACAGCAGCTGAGAATGGACAAATCAAGGCTTGGTCATGTGAAGTAATATCTCGCGCTTTGCGAGGTGCTGCTGAGGATTACCAGGGAGAAGCTGCTTCCTTGTCCAGATCCTTTGTGCAGGTTCGAGGACCTTTGGCTGGTAATAATCCGTCACAGACAGAAGTGCGCATTCTGGTGGCTGATCATTCAGCTGGGCGGGTTTGGTCTGCAGGGATCTACTTCATAACAATCTGGTAACTGTTCCATTTGAGTATCTGTGTTCAGTCATTCTATCCATAGCTGTGATTTAGCCAGTCACTAAGTAATTGTGCTGTGGCTAATTACTTACCACCGAGTATTCTGTGATTCGGACTGTGAGTGCTGAAGTTATTCTTGCTTTCTGGTTGCAGGGATGCACGAACACGAGAACCACTCTCCTCTTTTGAAGCACAATCAAACACTTCAAGCCAGGAGTTTGCACAGAACAACGAAGTTTTGGCAGAAGAAAAAGGGTTGCGAAAAGAAAAAGGAGTAGGCTGGTTGCAACGATCTAGAAATGCATTTATGGGTGCAGCTGATGCTGTTCGTCGAGCAGCAGCAGAGAGATTGGGCCAAGAAGAGGCTAGACGCCTGGAAACATTGGCTGTCTCAGAGGAGGGTACTGTATGGGGTGGTTTTGGTAATGGTCATCTCGTAAAATGGGATAGTGAAGGCACTCGCCAGCAGTGGGAGCCGCTGGCTGCAGTAGCAGTGAAGTGCTTGTTAGTTGTTGGGAGTCGCTTGTGGGTGGGATATGCCAATGGAAAGATCGAGGTGAATTGCTTATCTAATTTGTCCGAATATTTGATTTTTATATTTTTATTTTTTTTTGAAGTATACGACGTCTTCTTGTTTTTAACATTTGATAGCATAAGAGAGTGTGGTAATTTAACGTGAGGAATTTCTATTGTTTTACATTCTGATCATAATAGATAGCTATTTAGTGATTTATAGATTACGCACATTGGAACCCAGGACTGGGGATTAACATATCATTGATGTTAAAGAACCTTGGATTGTTCCTAAGTAATTTGCAACATTGGAAGGCCTAAGTCGAAATTGGGAATGCGCTGAACTTACCTCTACTGCAGGTGTTAAGCAGGAACCTCAAATCCGAGGGATGTTGGCCGGCACAGACTTCATCTATTGTACACATGGCAAGGGGTGGAAACTACGTATTTACACTTTCAGCAGATGGAGGGATCCGAGGGTGGCATGTTGCATCATTAAGTCCTCTTGATTCCCTGATTCAAGATGAGCTCTCCAAACGAACTGATAATTTCACTCAGAAGCGTCAACTTAGGTATGTTTTTACGTCTTTGATCGGAATAACCTCTGATTTTGTGATCGTGTTCTTGAATCAACACTGAGGACTTTTAGAGAAGCATTCTCATATTCATCTTGCGGTTTCTCATTTCAAGTATGTGAGTGTCACAATCCTACTGAGACGCATCTAAATTTTTTGTTTTTCCTATCATGTGCCCTTTTCAGGATATTCGCTGGAACATGGAATGTGAGCCAAGAGAAAGCCACTTCTGGATCCCTCCGTGCGTGGCTGGAAAAGTCAGCAGCTGATGCCAGCTTGGTGTGTATTGGGCTGCAAGAAATGGAGATGGGAGCAGGTTCTATAGGATTGGCTGCTGTGAAAGAGACGGTGAGATTTTTTCTGCTAGGATCTTGCACGTAATGCATTCAACATCATGTTATTGTTTGCCCTGCTCATCATCACTATTAATGAGTAATCCGAGCTTAAGAACATCAATGATTATGACCATGCTAGGGCATTCATGAACGGATTTTTAATGCAGATGGGAGTAGGGCTGCTGGATAAAGGAAGTGCAAACGGTCAATGGTGGCTAGATAAAATCGGATCCATCATTGGTGAGGGCAAAGATTTTGAACGGGTTGCATCTCGACAGCTGGCTGGACTGCTTATAGGGGTTTGGTGGGTCCTTCACTTCGTATCGCAGGACTCTCAGTTCCTTTACAAGTTGCACACTAATTTGGCCTCGCTGCTTCTCTCGGTTATCTATAATTGAGAAGAGCAGCATGACAAAATGAATGTTTCCATCTCTAGATACTTAACGTCAGTAGTAGGTTTATTGCATTTTCTTTTTCTTTTCTTCAAGATGCTTTTCATTTTCTCTTTTCTTTTCCCAAGGGAGATTTCTGATCTGCTCCGATCTAGACTTGTTGCAGGGTAAAGAAAAGCATTCGACAGTTCGTTGGAGACTTTGATGCTGCTGCTGTTGCTTGTGGATTTGGGCGCACTTTTGGTAACAAAGTAGGTTCTTAATTCCACATTGGTTTTCTGAAAACCTCTATCAAGGGGTTAAAATGACATAGAATGACACACAGATCATGTTCTGTAAAAGTTGGTTATAGTCATTTTCCCCAAGTTTAGGATGCATGTATAATCTGACAAATTACTTTCTGACAATGAAGTTTTCTGCTTGTTCTATAGGGAGCAGTTGGTGTAAAATTATCTGCGTTTCGGAGGACGATTTGTCTGGTGAATAGCCATTTTGCTGCACACATGGAAAAAGTCAATAGTAGAAACTCTGATTTCGAGTATTGCTACAATCAGATGGCTTTTGGGCCTAAACCAGTTCCTACGGCAGTTGGCGGTAATGGTATGCAAAAAAGTCTTGCTTCTACGTATAAGTGTTCATTCCCTGCTCCAGATTTTCATGTTGTGCAATGTCTTTTCATAGTTGCAACAGAAAGCGCCTCTTCGTGTATGATGCTACTACTTCGACATGCTTGGTTATTACGCATCTAACTTTGGTTTCCGTGGATGAGACAGGGCTGTTGGCCCGTGGGGGCAGTCGAAAGCTCTCTTCCAGTACTGAAATCCAAGAAATTTTGAGAGAAGAAGGGATGCCTTCGCTCGCGGTTAGTCTTGTCTTGATCTGAATGATTTTCAAAACATGTGTGAATTTTTATGCGAATTTGTCTTCTTGAATCTTGACTTTTGAGCTTCCCAGGAAGGCTGTGACGTGAGGCTTTCACTGTTCGCTTTACAACTGGAGCTGAAATTGAAGTCCTTGAGGGAAAGTGACCCTTGCTGCCTAACGGCATGGGTTTTAATTGTATATTTTAAAGTCCAACACATGTTTGTTAGGGTTGAGTTGAGTTTGTTTTTACTGTTGTGCAGGAACAAGACTTTCATTCAGAGATGCCTATGCCCGAGTTGTCAGATACAGACATTCTGGTGTGGTTTGGAGACTTCAACTACAGAATTGATACAACTTACGACCAAGCCATTAAATGGATCAGTGAACAGCGCTACGATATGCTTCTAATAAGGGATCAGTTGAGGGTTGAAATGACCAGTGGTAGGACATTTCCTGGCATGCGTGAAGCTGGCATAACATTTCCCCCGACATACAAGTTTGATCGTGGATCACAAGGTTTGAGTTCGTGTACTTTTCCTGTGTGTGAGCCTTCATCTAAGTTAAGTGGCATTGGATGGCTTATTTGTCTTGGTCTTCGTGACAATTCTAAGCAGTGCTTTTGTGATTGTTGAAATGCAGTGTATGATACAAGTGAGAAAAAAAGAGTTCCGGCATATTGCGACCGGGTTGTCTTTCGTGACAGCTTTGATGGTAGTGTCAGTGCTACATCTACTTCACTCACTAATCCTGCTCAAGCGACGTCAATACGGTAAAGCAGTTGGATGCTTGTAGTTTTCGCATATTCACATACAGCAATTTTCTGCTCTAAAAATTAAGAGTATTATGAATCTCGTTACAAATTTGTAGTAGAAAGCTTAAAGCACTGAATCCTAGGATTACATCATGGAGTCCCTCTGAAGAGTTGGTGTTGTATTTTTGAGGGGCCTAAATTTGTAATCGTTCACTTGCCGGATGCAGATATGACGCTTGTATGGAGGCACTGGACAGTGATCATAAGCCTGTGCGATGTGTCCTTGATGTAGACCTAGCAGTATTGGATGAAGCCGCGAGGCGACGTGAATTTGGTGACATCTTGAAGAATGATGAAAAGGTGTTGAATTTTTTGGAGCAAACCAATGTTATCCCTCAAACTAGGATAGATAAAAATTTAATTGTGCTTGGGAACTCAAAATCAAGTCTCTCTGTTATCAATGAAAGCAAGCAGTCGTGGACAACCTACACGGTTCTTTGCGAAGGATTATACGTTGGCGAGGACTGCCCATGTGGCAACCACAGAGCTAACAAGGGTGCCAACAGGGAAAATATGTTGAGGAGTGGCAATGGATTTCCCCTGTGGCTTCAGGTTGGTTCTCCTCTCATGAAATGTACTATTGAACAATATGGGATGAAGTCTACTCAATGATGGCTATATACAATCTCTTCCTGATGAATGCATAATGAGGTAGTTTTACTTTCAAGTGAAATAGATTCTACAAACATCAGAGCTAAGGGTGCATGTTGATGGTTGTGTTTTATTTATTTACTTATTTATTTTCGTCAACGAATAAAATGATAATGTTGCGCATGTATTCAGGTGCAACCGGCAGCTGGAATAATACGCCCCAACAGCAGCGTTACAATCACTATGGAGTACAGAGTGCCAGATCAACAGAACAATTTCAGTTGGAAGCGGTCCAACTCGCAGCCACGTTGGTGGAACGACGTCCAGAAGGACGATTGTTTGAAACTGGTGCTCACCATGTCAAGTTCGGCCTTGACTAAAGTGAACCAACATCGTATATGTGTGAGAAAGCTTCGGTGATTTGGATGTATACTGTACGTAGACAAGTTCTTTAGCGCCTTCAGCACATATTCTTCAAGCGCAGGTCTATTAGTCTGCAGCTTCAAACCAATTTTTTTTTTACCAGCATTTCAGGGGCATTGAGTAATGCGAGGGTGCTGGCCACACGGTGCAGTATTATGCTGATAGTTTATTGGTAGATAAACCTTATTAAGATACTTGTGATTATTCTTTTAAACTCGTGCAATGGAGCTTCAGAATGGTGGGTCGTCTTCATACAAGTCCTTCGCATTATTTTTTCTTGATAAAGAGGGTCTATATCTAAATACCAGTGAGGGTAGAACTAGAGCAGGATCAATGTCTTCATAGGACGGAACCGAAAGTACCTGCAGCGACACAGAAATTTGCGACTTTCGCACAGCTAGTTTGCAGATTCTCACCATTTATTGTAAGGATTTACAAATTCCACATACTAACAGAATCGGTTTCTTAAGGTAGTTTCTGAAAGTTTTTTTTATCTTTATGTGAAGTGGGTGGGGGTGATTAGTGTCGGGTTGTCTCGTTCCCCCGAACCAACCACCACTTAGGCAAGCATTTCGTCAACAATTGATTTGGAATAGATCATGCAAAAAGCATTTACTTATTGATTTTCAGTCACATCTCCACATTCAACCTTCACCAATGAAAAGTATACAAATATATTGTTTTAAATACAATTAACCTACAGAATGTGGCATAAAGTAGGAGTTTTCTTACGGGATTGTGAACTTGAATGCAGTTGGTACAAATATTTCAGACAAGAGGATAAAAGTAGTGCAAGTATTAGACCTAGTGGCCTTGAAATTGTCCTCAAACAAGTAACACATAAATAAAATGAAATAAAAAATGTTGAAATATAAAAATTAAAATAAAATATGAATAAAGATTAAAAGAAAAACTATCACAAACAGCTTGTTTTTGCAATGTTTGTGTAGAATATGCATATACGTATATATTCACATACATACATATGCATTGAAAATAGACCAAAATATTCATTATTTTTTTAATAAATGAAAATCTCAGCAACTCATGATAATGCATACATAGAATTAGCATTTTTTTTCTATGCAAATACGTACACATGCATTCATTAAATATATGCTTACATTGAATTTATCAGTACCATCCCCTTGAATTCAAATACATATGTGCCAATTTCAACCACATTGATAAGACACATGTGAGATACAAATACTTTTCCACTCACCTCTCTTGAAGCATTGTTAAAACCAATAGATTGTCCTGCAGCTCACTTATCTGCAATATGTCACAAGGTTAGTGGATAACACAGAACCAGTTCAATTGTGGCACTCAGATCCAATCTACACAGGCCATGCATATGACTCAGAAAGTGGCAATTTCAACAACATTGATAAAAATAAAAATAAACAAGTTTATAATATTTTATTATGGGTTTTAGAGTATGTTTTCCAAGTATTTGAAAATATATAATACAATCATCATTTAATATGTGTTTATAACTTGCAACAGCAATGAGAGTAATGTGGTGAATGAGTTTATTTTTTTAAAATGAGCAAGGAGACTCCAAGTTTGCGTTGGAAAGAATTAGGAAGCCTTAGTACCGAGGTTGCAAATTTTAATCTGTTTTTTTTGATTGGCTATAAGTTAGAAGTCTTCATTGCCCTGAACATGGTGGGTTAGTTAATTCTACGTTGACCTGACCCTCGAAGAAGACGGCGTCCAACAGTCGGGACTCCGCCCACTGATACCCGCCAGAACGTGACCACGACTCATATATATATATATATATATATATATCACGGGTATCAATCCTCAAGCTTCCCACAAACTGGATGTCGAGCACGTCGAGTCGGGCTCCCATTTCTTCCTCTTCGTTTCCACATTCCAGAACTGGCATTTCGGATCTCGGATTTCAGTCCCGCCCTTCGACATTGCACTAGATTGCAGCAATGAACTCCCGTTTGATGTTTACAAATGCCGCTCCATGCGTTTTATCGAATTCTCTACATCTCGGTCATTGTTTTTCTGTGAAGAGATCGCTCAATTTGTCGTCGTTCTTGGCTTAAGGTGGCCATGGGAGTCTCTGCGATTTGGCGTACAATGAAGGTGTTCGTGGAGGTTGGAAGTAGCGGAGATTGTGTTTTAGAGAAGCCTGTGAGGAGAGAAATCGTGGTTGGAGAGTTTGGCTGCGGAAAAGGTTTTAGCGGAGGTTTTTGTTTGTGAAAAAATGCTGCCGAAGGTTTTTGTGGGGGCGTTCCGAGAGGAGGCTGAAGTGTCTGGTGAGGTTTTCCCTCTTGTAGTGGATTTTATGAGAGGTAAGTCTCATGGGGGAAGCAAGCAGGAAGAAGCCCCCGGGTGCGTTGGGAGGTCGGTGGAGCTTCAAAGCGTCGATTGTTGTCTTCGAGGCCTGTGAGTGGAGTATTTCATTTCAAATTCGGTTGCATTCAGCTTAGACAGTGTCATCACAATCCCAGTACCTGGTTGGAGCTTATTCAATATTCAGTTCGAATTATTGAATGTCGTATGGCGCTTGTGCGGGAGTCGATTCAAATTGGCGTTCAATTGTGTATCCTCCTTTGCAGAGATGTCATGGCATGGTAGTTAGGTGGTTGTGTATGAAGCATCTGAAAGTTATAGTCGAATTGCTGACCTTGCAATATTGAAATTAAATGCAGTTTTAGGGACTACGGTTTTGTTGGTGATGATGGGATTGTGGTTGGCCCTGGAGTCGTCGCAAAAAGACGGATATGAACCAAGTACGTTCAAATCCATTACCAGAAGAATGTCAGCTGAACTAGGTGATGACGTGTGCGATAGAAAATTGTATCCTCCACCATGGGAGCTTCGCACCGACCAGCTAACTATCCTCGTGAACGGCTTCGGAGAGGCGCGACTACCATTGCTGGAAGCGAGCGTGCGAAAATATTCCTCCTCGCCAGTAGTGCACTCCGTGTTTGTCCTTTGGGGGAACACATCGACTCCCGATTCTTTTCTCCAGGCATCGAAGTTTCAAAGCATCGGGGCGCCGATTTACATCGTAAGACAGAATTCCATGAGCCTGAATGATCGGTTTCTTCCGCGGCCCTTCGTCAAGACGAAAGCGGTTATGATATGCGACGATGACATCACTGTGGATTCAAAGAACTTGGAGTTTGCATTGCAGGTCAGTCAGCTCATCTCTTGCTCGTTCTTCTATGTTTCGTTTGAACCTGTCGTTAGTTCAAGGTTTAGGTGTAAATAGTGACGGGCTGGTGGCGGTGGATGCAGGTATGGCGGGAGAATCAGCAGCGGATCGTGGGGTTTTTCCCGCGAGCCCACTCTTATCAGCTGGACAGCCATTCCTGGGTTTACACAAAAAACCAGCATCATTATTCAATCGTGTTGACAAAGATTATGATTCTGGCCACTGACTATCTCTATCGCTACTCCTGTGAAATGCCAGCAGGAGTCCGCGACTATGTTGACAAAGGCATGAATTGTGAGGACATAGCCATGAATTTTCTTGTTTCCAACTTCAGGTCCGTTAAATCTAGCTTTTTTCTTGCATTTAAGGGCATCTGATGTAGTTATTGTGCCTGCCTGTTAGTGATCGTATCTTGTATAAGAATTGAGCTCTTATTGCTCGAATTTGTTGTACATCCTTTTGCAGCGGCTCGGGTCCACTACTTGTGGAAGGACAACCACGAGACTGGGGAGACACACGGAATTCCAAGGAGGATCTGACCACAATGAGCTTAAGTGCACGTGCAGGCCATCGGAAGGACAGAGGGGATTGCATTATGGAGTTTCAGAGGCTATGGAATGGAATGGAGCTTCGCTTCAGCCATGCCAAAGCTGTTCGTGATGTGGATGAACAGGTGACAACTCTCTGGTCATTTTCAGATCTTTTGAGTTACTATGCAGAAGCCTATGCGGAATCCATTGAACTGTTGCTCTTTTGATGCAGGTAAATTGTGAAAAGTTTGGGCTGTTGATCGACTGTGACAAAAGTGTGGGTTCTGCACGAGATGCCCACAGATTGGCTGGGCACAACCTAGTGAAGCGAACCTATCAATATGCATATGCCACATTTATCCAGTCGAAGGTGATGTACTACGCTGCTCTCGTTTGGGCACAGGCCCTTCGAAATACAGGAACTGTTCATGACCTTGTGCTTCTCCTGGATATTAATTCCGGATTGAAGAAAGATAACGAATTACTTGCTGATCACTTTGATGTCGTGAAAGAGGTGAGGGCGTTCAGGACACGTCACAAGACGAGGAGTGTTGGGAGATTGAGTGTCTGGGAGCTTCTGGAGTATGAACGGGTTGTTTACATGGACGTGAATCTTTTATGCCTGTCGAATCTGGACTATTTATTTGAACTTCCAGAGCCAGCAGCGGCCCCGCTAACCAATCATCCTCTTCAATTCGACACGGGTCTGCTTGTGCTGCAGCCATCCAACGCAACTTTCACAGATCTTTTCAATTGGATAGAGGGCGTGAGCAGCCCTGATCGGAGAACCGAGCACAGGCTTCTCAATGGTTTCTTCCACGATTGGTTTCACATGTCAAGCAAACATCGTTTGCCTATGTATTTGAACATGCCTGTTCATCTAGCCTCCTTTGCATCTGTATTCGGTAATTGGAGTGAATCAGAAGCGGCTGCTCCTTTGTTGGGTGCACTCCAATTTTCTAAGAGGAAGATTGCTTCGTTCCTCAGTGTCTGGATAAAAGAGGAAGTGAACAGTGAATTAAATCAGACATTAGGGTTTCGATACCGGGAGGAAGCACAATACAGAACTGATTGGTTTGGTATCTGGCTGGAGATTCTTGATGCTTTGCGGAGCAACAACTACCAACCTCTGAGCGATGAGGTGGTATCGCAGCTCTCCTGGAAACAGAGAAAAGGAAGTAGTACATGGCCACCCAAATCTCTCATGGCTGCTCTTCCAAGCCCGTTCCAGCATCTCCATGTTCCACCTCTGCGGAAAGCTTTTGCCACTGTTGTGACGTCTATCGATCAGCTTGTTGCTATTGCTGGTTGGATGATAACATACTCAAAGTTTCACATGCCTACTGCTGAGTACGAATCGGTTCTTCTTGTTCATGGTTCTGTGGGAGAAAAGACCTGGCGGCCATTCAGGACTCTGTTTAGTTCAGTTGTGGTTGTGAATGGATCCAATAGCAGCTCTTCTGTGGAAACCATGTCGGCAACAATGCTTCAGCTCTGGAACCTGACAAAGTACGACAAGCTGGTCTATGTGGATCCTAGGTCCATATTTTTGAGCAATTGTGATTTTTTGATGGAGTTCGAACCTTTTGCAGCGGCACCAGATTTCATATTTCCAGATACATTCTCGTTGCAGGTGATGGTCCTACAGCCAGATAACCACAGATTTTTAGAGCTCTGGAAGAGCCTTTCTAACGAGATCTCAGAAGATTTTTCGCTCACTCGTTTTTTGAACGAACATCATAGCTCCTGGTATCAGTTTTCTACCAAGCATCGTATTGAACCTATTTCCAATGCTCAGAATGAATTAGAAAGGGGGTTCAAGGCGGATGGGTCTTTGAAGATCTTGTCTTTACACTCAACTACCACCTTGTCGGATTCAAATTCAGAAATTGCTGGAATTTGGCGGAAGCATGTTTGCAGCAGCTTGCACATGAGAAACTTTGGATTTCGTATTAGTCTTCATGACATCTGTAACCCCATGGATTATAAATTCCAATAGCAATTAGTTTTGCGTCAATCATCTAAAACTTGAGTTGTTAGAGTACTGATCGGATTATTATTAACATTCCAGGTTTGCCCATCACAAAAGTAGGGTTGGAATTATGGGCTTATATACGAACGCAACCTTTGTGTGAAGTAATCCGTCGAGGGACTAGCATTTAAGTCATGTAGCAGCTATGGAATATCGCGGACATACATGAAATTGTGAAGGTCCCTCAAGTGATCTTGAAAAGATCTTGGGCAAGTTTGAGTTGTAATACATTTTTCCCTCAGCTGAAAGATTTTTAGAAGGCTACAACATGCAGCCTATTTGCTATTTTAAGCTAATGCGGATTCTAATGCAGTTCCTCCCTGTGATGGCAATGGAATCTAGATTAGAGGTCAGAGAAGACTTGATCAGCACACAACATGTTGATCTTCTACCATGACTCTCCGGACTATTGGTAGACAGATTCTGGAACCTCATGAGCTCTCTTGCTGGAGTCATTGGCATTTGCATGAACAGATTCTCGTGATTTCCTACCATGTTTGTTTCATATCTGCAAGACGAAACAACGAAACCTTCTCAGCCCTTGTCTGCGCAGCACTCGTCCTTAATGGCAGGAACTAGACGTATTAAAAAGCAGGGAGTCTTTGTTTGATAGATGGTTGGTCTTACGTAATCTTATGCAAGTCCTATTGGACAATCTGTTAGTGTTGTGGATTGAATTTATTAAAGTAATGCAAGATACAGGAAGGTTCAAAAATTCCAATAATAGCATGAATTCTTTGTAATAAAAATTTAAAAATAACATAAAATCTACAAGATAAAAACTATCTTCAGAAACTCATATGTATATATATATTCTCCATCTAATTCTTTCGTGATATAATTAGGATTAATGCAAGTAAACGTGTGTTTTTAAGGATTCTTTAATGAGGATTTATGGCAAGTAGAATAATAAATAAAAATAAATAAACATTATTTGAGTGTTTGTTTAGTTACACAATCATAGCTGAAAAAAATAATATTACATTTGTCTCATTTATTTTTAAATTTCCTGTAATGTGCATCTTGTTGTAATGTGAAGGTTGGATAAACTTAACTTAAAAACTGATATTTTAATAAGTGAAAACAAATAAAATTGCAACTCATGAAAATTTTAGACTTTTTTAGATACTAGTTTAGGAAGGATTTATAAATCTTTACAATCTAAGAGGAAAACTTTCTAAAGTATTTTATTTTAGAGATTTGCAATAAATTATTGAATTTTTAATTAGAACAATTATCTATTGAATTTTAGGATATATTTTAGAAGAAATATCTAGAGTTTATATTAGAATCAGTTTGATTCATTTTTTTTATAAATGTGATTTTTTTTAGTGATTTTATAAAATAATTATATATTTTATATAATATTTTTTGAAAACATATTCATGTTACATATTTTATACAAAAATAAGTTTTACTTAAGAATCGGAAGTGTAAACTATGATAGAAATGAAAATATGTATTTTTTAACAAAAATTGGATTTAGTCTTGTTTTATATTGCATAATATTCATACACCATTTGTAATATAAACTAATTTATTATTCAATATGTTTTGGAATTTTGTTGTATAGATAATTTATTATGGAAGGAACATTAATGTTGTATTTTTCTTCAATTAGAATCCTTGTTAATGCAATTTGCACACAAAGAATCTCAACTTGATTTTTTCTATTTATTTTTTTGTTAATTTTATAAATATTCTTCTAATCAACATTGTTATTCTTTAAATCAAAAAATATTTTTTTCAACTAAATTAGAGTATCTAGTTTATATTTGTGCTAAATTATGTTTCTTTGATGTGATTGTACTTATCACTAATTTGCCTAGAATGCTAACAAAATTAGTTTTGTTTATATAGCTACAATTAGTTTACTCAAAATTTTAGCATGTTTGCTTGTGATGAATTTATCTCTAAGTAACACAAGTTCTTTAAAGAGCTTACTTATAACAATGAAAAATATTAAAAAATAGGAGTTTTGTGAAAATAGTTGAGATAAGCCTTCAATAAACCAAAAGTCACTTTATGCTTGGTTTAAGGAGATATTCAACCTCCCAAAAGGACCCTCTTGAGAGATATTTAGCAATATCCTAGTCAAAAGAGATTCATTTGAAAATATCAATCTTGCTACATCCAATGCTAAAAGATTTTCTATTATTGTAATTATGTAGCTTGATAATACATTGGTATTTTGTCTAAAAGATCCACTTTAATATGAAATTTACAACCTATGTAGAAGGATCTAACAAATTACAGCAATTTATAATTGGCCACTCCAAAAAATTGAATTGTTTCCAAAAAGAATTAGGAAACATTTCAGCTTTTACTATAAGCTCAATCAAAAAGCTTGGATAAACAACTTCAATTTTTGCAATTAATTGAGAAGATTAGACAAGAAAACAAAGGCAATTGATTGTCATATCATTCTCTTAGATAATGTGCTTTTGTATGGCACTTGTAATCTCATTCTTACCAATGAAGATATGTTCATGGTATCCCTAAGTTCAACTTCCAAGATCCAATCCATGGATGTCAATATCATTGGTACCTTCAACTACAACGCGCAATCAATAGAGAAGAGGTAGCCAAGATAATCTTTATAAAGTTGATTAACTCACTACAATATACTAGACTAAAGACGTGCAAAAAAAGATTTTGGCCACTATTATCACTAACTATTTTTGCCACAATGGATTGTTTGATAATAGATATTATTAAGTGAACAACATCTATATGATAAAATTTGATGTTAATTAGATGCACCAAGAGTTTACACTAGAAGACTAAGCAACTAAAGCAACAAGCTCTACTTTGCCTTGGATGACTACTACAACTATGAGTGCATCTTCATCAAAGAAATCTTTAGAGGCGTGAACATTGTTAAAAAGAAAATAATGCAATTTTGAAGCAATTGGGTGTCTAAATTGGCACGCTTGCCATTCAAAGTATTCTACAAAGGACAAAATTGGTTGTATAAATTCATGTAATTTATCATCCTTCTTATAAAAGGTCACATTTGTAATTAGATAGTTGCTATTTGAGATATCAAATATCAAAAATTGGAGGTATTAACTTCCAACCAGAGAACCAAGTTGGTCAATAGAAAACAATATAAAATATATATATATATATATATATATATATATAAAATTTGTATTGATACTTGATATTGATTTAAAAAGGTACAACTTACATGACTTGTTCTAATTATAAAATACAATATGAAAAGATGTATTGCAAAAGGAAAATTGTAAGCATACGCTTTGCAAGCCCCATGGCAGGCTAAGACTACATTTTATCTATTTGGTTTATGTTTGCACTTTGTTGCTTGCAGGCAAGTAGGGAAAAGCAGGGAGAGAGCGAGAGGTGAGTGAGAGGGAGCAGCGCCCAGCGAAGAGGAATGGACCCAGTACCCACTCAGGCGTGTACATGATTGATGAGGGAGGCCCCCTGGAGAATGATTTTAGCGAGCCTTGAATCACAGCGCAGCTGCAGTAGCAGAAGAAGAAGCAGTGGAAGCACCTTCGCACGGAGTGAACAAAGGTTGTTGGCGATGGCGACCTCTCGTAGCACAACCTCCTCACGCTTCCGTCGTGTCCCTCCACCATCTAAGTGCAGCGTTCCTACAATCACCCGACTGACCGCGAGAGGGAGACGCTTGGCCGCCACACAGCCTAATCAAGCCCTGCTCACCCAGACCCCCGGCCTCTTCTGTGCCCTGCCAAAATTATAATGAGTCTATTTCCTGCAGGGGAGCGGGAATTACGTGAGCTGGAGCCCTGAAAATGATGCTCCTGTGACAGGAGTGGTAAGTTGCAGTGCTTTTCAGCCCATTTTGTCATACGGTCCTCCTGTTAAGACATGGTGGGCAAGTAGAAATCAAACGACTGCTGATCAGTGGGGTGATTATCTTGTAGAGAGAGCTGTCGAGGTAGAGTGGGGAGGAGAGAGGGAGAGAGATCGGTAGGGAGGGGAGTTGGGTGCCGATAACACATCACTTGCGGAGGGGCTGTGGAGTGGGGATGTCGGATGGACCTGATCTTAGGATCCTTGGGAGGGAGATAGGTGAGCTATGCGCATCATCTACATTGACAACGAGAGGGAGGACCATGGCGTGCGTGGTGATGAGGCGACTGTAACTTGTGTCGAACCCAAAAGAATGGTTGGGTCTCTAGCACTCCTTTGATGCGTACTAATTGGGGAATTATCTGGGGCCAGCGATGACGACGCTGATCCAGAAGGCTCTCAGGAGCAGGAAAGTGTGGTGCGCTTGTTTCTTCTTCGCCGCTCTCCCAGCTGCCATGATCCGAATCTTACTCCTTTTCAACAACCCCGATTCTTCCAATTTTAAGAAGCAGTCTGTGGGCATTTTTATGGCCCCGGAATATAATGCCACCAACACTGTTCTCAGTACTCCCCCACCTGCCAGAAAACTAGGTAATAGTTTCTCTCCCTCCATGTAGCTCTCTCTAGTGCTTCCCTTGATCGAGGAACTCCACGTATTACAAACAAAAATATAGTGAACTGTAAGTGGCTGCATGCAAGGGCTTATTTCATGCGTTATGTGGAATGCCTACAGGAAAGTGTGATTTGTCACAAGGTGATTGGGTGCCGGATCATGCGCCACCGGTATACAACAACGAGACCTGCAGGCACATCCAAGCCACGCAGGATTGTTTGGGGAATGGGCGGCCAGACAGCCACTACTTATACTGGAAATGGAAGCCGCGCGGGTGCGAGGTCCTGAGAAGCGACGCCGAAGCTTTCTTGCGGACCATGCGAGGCCAGAAGATGGCCTTTGTTGGAGACTCCATTGCTCGTAATCAAATGCAGTCGCTGCTGTGCATTCTCAACAAGGTGGAGAAGCCTACTAATACATTCCATTCCAGCGACGACAAAACAAACCACTGGTTCTTCCCATCCTACTCGTTCACACTCACCATCTACTGGTCATCGTTCCTCGTGAAGAACTCGACCTACACTATCCCTGACGCTGACAACACCTTCGTTCAATTGGACTTGGATATTCTCGATCCCGCATGGGTGGAATCCATGGCAGGCACGGACGTGATAGTGATCTCCTCCGGCCAGTGGTACTTCAAGGCCGCAGTATACAGGGAAGGAGGACAATTCATCGGCTGCCACCACTGCGGTGCGAAGGCGGGGTTGAAGCAAGTCGGCTTCTTCAGCGCGTACCGAAGAGCCATTAGAACAGTCTTCAGAGAGCTGCTGCAATCGGTGCCAGCCTTCGACGGAGTTGCCGTATTTAGGACATTCGCTCCGGACCACTTCGAGAATGGCGGATGGGACACAGGAGGGACGTGCCCGAGGACGGTGCCGGGAGGTGTGGCCATCACTGAAATGAACTGGATGATGCATGAAATTGAAACCACAGAGCTGGAGAAAGTTAGGGCTGAGATGGGTGCAAATCGTATCAGCCTGCTTGACATTACAGAGCTCGCGCAGATTAGAACAGACGGGCACCCAGGACCTTACAGGAATCCCTATCCATATGCAAAAGACGCAAAGGAGAAGTTTCAAATCGACTGCTTGCACTGGTGTCTTCCAGGGCCAATTGACACCTGGAATGAAATGCTTATGGAGACATTGCAACAACAGATGCAGCCTTGAGGACCACGTTTTATTTGCAAGGGATGAAACCAAATCTTCCCCTAGGTAGGCCGTTAGAGCAGGCAGGTCACAAACACAATCGCCATGAGTAGATAAAACGACAACCCGAGAAGTGACCGATGTTTAGTTTACTCAGTTAGCACAAATTCAGTGAGCTTCAAAATGTCATTTCATACCGATGCAAAGGATATCCGTGAGAAAATTCGCATGTATATGTGTATCTCAAAAATCATGGAGAGGAATAGGCACGATGAGGTGCAAGTTCCAGACTTTATCAATGGCCAGAGTTGGTCGTGCGTGGGAAATGCTAACAACGGGGTATGTACACACCCCGCAATTAAAATACCGCCTGTCACGCCTAATGCGGCGGTCCATTATAAACCGATAGGACAAATAGACGGCCACCATTTGGCACAGTAAGCTCACTACAATATATACAACAGAACTTCAGTTGGCCAAGTTCGGTAGACGTAAAAGATATCCTGACCTAATTTGGAAGTGCTAATGAGCGGACTAAATAACCAGAACATCTAAAAACACTATGAAACATAAGCAGCTCGGACTGCCATATTTTCAACCTGAGTAGACACTTGCATTTGCCTAAGCTTTTGAGCGGTGGCACGATGAAAAAACTGCTCACGGGCGAGAACTCTTACGTGCTTCAAGTAGGCTTCGACAGGAATCACCAAATCTTGAGCTCCTTTATCAATAGCGTACAATATATCTTCGATTGCCAGATCAGACGACTGGCATTCGAGCAGCTGCTTAGACAGGGTATCGACTGGCTCAAATACATCATCGATATTAGCACGAGTGATGCCTCTATCATTGGCCCTGAGCCAGTTCTCCAATATGTCAGTGTTAGTCAGCGTAGCTTGTAGTTGACTTTCAAGTGCTGCTTTTTCGTCATTCAACTCGCGTACTCCACTCTTGAGTTGCTCCGACCTTCGAGCCAACAGTTGCTGCAAGAAGGATATCACCACTGATAAATAATATCTCATCGAAGATCTTTAAATGATGCGATCAATAACTGTAATTCGAATGTGGCATGGCTAAGACGAATTACAGTTATTGATCGCAACATTGAAAAATCTCTGCACGATACAAAATGAGACAAACGGCAATGAAACAATCACTCACCTGTGTATTGAAGATAGATTCCATCTCATTGTGCCGTTCCTGCATCAGCCTATTGATGTCATTTCTCACCCTCTCTGTCAATGCATTAACAGCATTCCTCTTATATTGTTCTTGTGGGTCGTCGTTGCGACTGTGAGGAGGATGTAGAGGCGTATGCTGATACGGAGGATATGGAATTGAAAGCCGTGGGGATTGAGCAGGAGATAGCCCTGGAGACGAAGTAGGATTCATTTGCATAGTTGCACCCCCTGTATGAATTGGGTTCATGAAAGGCGGTGTTGGAGGAGGCGGAGGTCGAACATGAACAGGCGCAGTCGGTCTTGAATACAAAGGAGGTTTTTGCCCAAAGAGAAGAGACAGGCTTTGAACCAATTCAACTAAATTAGACCTGGGAAACACCCATTGCTGAAGATATTGACAGTTTACCATGCCTGATCCATCTACATTAGGGTGGCGTTGCGTGATGACCATGTCTCGAGTTGGTTTTACATATATTAGGGGAGGTTGGCGAGGGTAGGTTTCGAGAAGCCAAATATTAATAGGAATGTTGTATTTCACATCCTGATAAAACATGGGAATAGTTCCCTCAGCTTGCAATAGGTTTAGGGTCCGCCCATCGTTGTGATTGAACACAGCAGACTTGACCTGTTACAAGGTAGAACAATAAAATATGAGTTCAAACCCATATCATCAACTGAAAGAAATTGCCCTAAACCTGCAGATTGTATAGCGCGAGAATCCAACAAATTGCAAGCCATGCTTCGACGAGGTTTCCTATACCAATACTCCGACCTAAATAAATTTGAAAGTACACTCGTGGCTCGGTTTGTGAGCCAGTGTCTGTATACTACGTAGCAACGCAGGTGCCTGTTTGAAATGCATAAGTTCAATCGATTAAGAAACTTAAAAGGGTATCCTCGAGCGTTAAATGATGTAGAAGCCTATACCCTCGGCAAAATGCGCGACCTCGCCAGCAATACGTAGTAATTGGCAGAGAAGAATACACGCGTGTTACCCCACAAGGAAAATTTAAGAACAGCGTGAAGAACATCAAATTTTACCTGCAAACCCGGAAACTCCTGAAGGACTTTCAGAAGATGCTCTCGGATTGTCCATTTTTCATCCTCCACATACGCCAAAGCTTGAGGCCCTCTCTGCGACAACGCCTGGTTCAGAAATTGCGTCACGGATTGCGAATTCGGAGTGCCCGGGCGTCCCACCATCGCACTCAAAAAAAACTCCAACCCTATAATCCGTCTCCAACCTCACAATTCTGTCCAAATCCTCGACCAAATCACCACGAACTTCTCCACGGAAGGCTCTCCACGCAATCATACCACCAACTCCACTGCCAAATCCTGCATCACACTCAAGAAACCAGCACTCCTCCCACCGACCCACCTCCCGACTGACAAAAGATCAGAACAAAAAAAAAAACGAAGCGAAGACGATGAACGTAGAGGAAACGCGTCTTTAGGACCAAGAGTGGGAAAGAAGTCGGGATCGAGTGTCGGTGAAGGAAGCCCGAAGGCAACAACAGATGCTTGGATTGCAATCGCCTGGAACGGCAGTAGAATGAATGGAAAACGCAACGAAGGTCCGCGTATCCCTACGAATCCGGATACACAACACATTAGTGCAGTCACGAACTCCAAACCCTAATTCTGGCATCCAGCCACACTTTGAGACTAGTTATGGAGATTCCCCACATGGCAATAATGAATACTGACGTGGATTGCCTGTTCGTCGGGCAGTCTCTTGCCTGGTCTAGCAGAAATTATTTGGAAGGACCTGATTCCTCTTTTTCTGGGATTATGTATCTAAAACCGTGTGTTTGTGTGTGTGTGCGGAAAAGTGTCAAAGTTGGGAAATAAGTTGTAGGAAAACCAAGTTTGGTCACAGAGTAACGTCGGAATACCTTAAACCGTCAATTTAAGGTTTTTCAGCTATCTCGTGGGGGGGTTTCTTGCGGAAGAAAAATATTTTGGGTAGAGAAATACGGTTCTGATGTGCTCCAGAAGAAGAAAAAAATTGAATTGCCGCAGTGGTTGAATTGATAAAAATGATCAAAGCAGTTTTTGCATTTTACCCCTGAACTGAGTTGTATACTTGAGCAAAACCGCTAGTAAAAACAGGTCAAACCATCACCTCCATCACACTAAACCACCACCTTCATCGTTGTAAAGTTCGCCGATCATTGGTGGACTTGGAATCCACTCGGAATCTTTCTACATTCTTCAAAGCGGTCTACGAGTTGGTTCAAGGGGGCTGACACGGTTTAAAGTATTCCGACATTATATTGTATGATTTGGTTATTTGCCTTTCACTGCGACAGAAGGCAGTGTAGATTGCAATCATTTGAGTAACACCAGTAACATCTCCGAAAGTGCGAACTTTAAGGGAACCTTTTAGCATTATTTAACCAAGTGACTTCTTCTTGGAACTTCTGGAACTTCAGTAAATTCTACCATTAATATTCCGTTTCTGCAATGGGAAATTATGATAATCCATTTTGAGACTGGATTTCAGAAATAGTGACACTTTATTTGTATTTTTTATTTTTTGTTTGAAGATTTGCTATCAAAACGGCAGAAGAGCTCAGAGGGCCAGCGACTACCAGTACCATATGCTTGTTTCGCCTGTATTGGCTTATTTAGGGTTTACGAACCGATGTAGACATGAATGAAGAAGGATAGGCTCCGGAAACCCTAATCCTAATTCCTCTCGGAGCAATTGTCCTCCCTCTCGATCAGTCCTCCTTTCCTCTCAGCATAGTCTGCGTTAACGCTCCAGTAGAATTCTCTTCCCTCCTACCTCATTCTGTTATTCTCCTCGAACTGTGAGCTTGGACTGAGCTCCCCTCGTGCAGATTTTCTGACAGGATCGTTGTCTCGCGCTTGGGTTTGCGTTCTAGATCGCTCCTGCTTGATCACTTGTGCCCCGGAGTTGGATTTAGTGATGGTGGGTTGTTCCGTATTGAGCCGGAGCCATTGCATCCTAGGATTCGTCGAATTCGAAAAATCGTTGCTGCATGAGAGAAGGTTACACTGAGGTACGTCTGCTGTTGCCTCGCTGCTCCGTTACAGTGAAATGAAACGAAACAATCTCTGAGTTGCTGCGAGAATCAATCGGAGGGTTCATGTCAGGCATTTTTATCGTCGCAGACACTACCCTTATTTATGCCCTTATTGGTTCTTTGGATTGTGATATACGAGTCTGAGGGCAAAAGGAACTTCGTGAAGTTTGCCCAATTGAAGACAGTACGCTCGATGGGCCTTGATTGTTCGTTGCCAGGGAATACTTAGAATTCGTGTTCCAAGGTGGGAGTTGGGCTTCCTGTTACCCTTTCGAGACTTTCGAATACTTCAAATATTGTTTACTGCCTGGTGTATACCAATAGTCGATTGCGCGCGACGGGAATCGTTTAGGTTGAGTCTCTTGGAGATATGCCGAGGTTTAGGATCGTATGTTTCGTGGATTGCACGAAACTGTTGGCTATTTGTGCGTTGATATCGAAAGGTTTTCTGAAGTCTAGGAATATGGCGAGAACAATTTCTATACTTTTCATATACAGGCAACCGTACAGTTGTAGCTAGTTAGAATACTGACTATCGAATAGAATGCTGCATTCTGGCCCTTTGCAAGAATCACAGTATCCAATGCAATTGACTGATCTTCTTCCTCCAAAATAATTACGAGAATTTGTCGAGCGTTCTCTAGGCTGGTCTCTTAAGCTTCCGTGTATGCTGACTCTGGAAATTGGAACTGTTGATATTAAGGATAGTTGCATGGAAATAATGCCACTTGAACTCCAGAATTTCGTCAGTAAAACGCTTTTTGAAGTTGAATCTCACACTGTCTATATCAGAGCACTTTCTCAACTTTATTTTTTAAATACTTTATTTGTTGTCTTACTCAATGTTTTCAAGTACTATAGCATTGGTTAGTAATCGGTCCCTTCACTGTTGTGCAGCAGAATGTGGGGCTCTTACAGTTTTTTTTCTTCTTTTTTTTTCTTTTTGTTTTTTCTTTTTTACAGATGCGACGAGCTTCCAAATTCTTCAGTGGAGCAGTAACGGTGTTCTGGTCAGATGTTCAACAGCGCTTAATTGAAAAAGAAAAACATTTTGAGCTGGGAAGGACGTGAAATTTTGTGAGGATGTTTGGCGTCTTGTTTCCTAATCGAAGCTTTCCGTTGGGGATCAGTACTTTCAACCAAGTTGATGAACACCGGTGGCTACTGGATATGAATTATTTCGTTGGTAAGTTCTCTTTCTAGCTTTTCTGTTGTTCAGATTAGTCATCTGGATCTATCAATGTTGGATATTATAAAACCATCTTTGAGTTTTTGTAATTACAGTCACGTCTTATGAAACATCGCTTGCACTCTAATGTTTTTGACACTTATGTTGCAATACTATGATGAGCATTGTTACATTTTTGCAGAGGTAGTTAAATGTTGACTTGCATGTTTGCAGGGGAAGCTTACGATCAAGTAAAAGAGATGTGTGTCTTCTTGCTCAATGAAATGGTATTACCAGCTGGCAAATCCTTAGCCGTGTATGTGCAAGCCCCAGGTTCACAATTTGAATATCGTGGTGCTGTGCATAGTGCATGTCCTTCAGCTGTCTTCCCTCTTCTTTGGCCCGGGGCAACCTCCGGCCCAATGCTACTGACGGGGCCTGGTGCACCTGGTGCCTCTGCACAAATTGGTATCTCAGTTGAAGATCTCGCCACTCTTCCTTCCCTCAACGTGGGCCATCAGAAGCGGGTGGAGGAGATTGCATTGAAAGTCGGCGAAAATTTATTCAACTTCATGCAATCTTTTGGTACCACTCAAGGTGGCAAACTAATCGTTCCCATGGATATCTTGAACCAATGGTTTAAGAAGTTTCAGGAGAAAGCTAGAAGAGATCCTGATTATCTTAATCGCTTCACCATGTAGTGTAGTTCAAAGCCTCAAAGATCAAAGCTGTCTCTTGATTCCCTCTGTGGTTGAACTTCTTTGTTCAGTTCCCAAGTTTTTGTACGTTATGTGGATAGTACATAAAAAGTAAAAAATAAAAAGCGATTTGCGTAGAAGCCCACAAACATGTTCACAATGATCATGTAATACTCCGTGAACCTTTGGAAATCCATCACTGACCCATCTCGGGACTTCATAAAAACCCTTCACCTGTAAAGTTCTCTATGCACCATCTTTATTCCTCGTGCATCGAGTCTCATTCTGCTATTTCACAGTAGCTGCTCTGGCACCTTAATATTGAATCTTGAACTTCAAAGTTACATTCATTTTTTATGGTATCATCAGGAAGAGGAGATTCTACATGTAATGTGGCATTTCGCCATAGTGCCGAACTGCCCACCAAGACACGTGCAGAGACCTTCCCCTTAAGTTGCATGTACTCTGTTGTGATGAGTTGAGACAATCACCGCAGTGACTCATCAGATTGTGAACAGTGTGCACAGCCGAGCTGTCACCTTCAAAGACAATTTAAGAGTTACGCGTTGAAAGCCGTGAGGATCGTCAGTGCCGTGCCACTGTTATCCGGAAGCCACCCGCTTCATGACACCGAAAACCCACAGGAATACAGTAAAGAGGATTGTTTTGTAGCTTATTAACGGCATGCTGAAGGGCCAAATCAGGGATATCCACCTCAGTAATCTGCGCCTTCAGCTGTCAGACTATTAAAAGGAATTGTCCCTGTGCCATTAGGAATCCCAGTTTATTTGCCACATACATGCTGCTATACTTTATGGGCAATTTTGCTATAAATGCGTAAAAGAATGTTCCTTCATGTTGTGACTTTTCTTTAAAACTTGAAATTTAATTAAAACGTGACCAAAACATGAGTGTTTAACATGTCTTATTGAAGACATGAGAATTAGTATTCACAAAGATTTTCAAAGTATCACAAAGAATACCATTAATGATTGGTGGCATGACCCATTTATCAAATAGAGACTGTAGCTAAAAGTCTCTATTTGATTGTTTAAGTTTGCAAGGAGAGCAGAAGATTGAATTAACATTGTTCAAGCTTAACTTGTTCAAATGCATCTGTGTACTTTGGGACATTGAAGCCACATTCACTCTTTCACACTACCTTCTTTATATATATTCAAAAATATCTTGGGTAGTAATCAGCACTTGATATTGCCATAAACAAGAATATGGTGTACAAATTACTCAAGCTCTTGTTTTTGAAAGAAACTTCTCAAACAAAGCTTTCATGGGTGCTTAATTGGACAAAGGACATTCTGGTGGTGCACTGCCAAGCCATAATATTGGAATGTATGAGAGATACAACTCCAAATGCCAAAAACCACAACAACAACACATTCTCCCTTCACCCCAAACCACAACCCTAAAACCAACACCTTTTTCTCATGTGCCCAAATGCAATTCTTCCTCCATATCCACCCAAACCCAAAGCTACAGACAAACCATTCCTTCCTCTCCACACAGAACATTAATCCAAACCAAGAACACCCATCATCATCATGATCATCAAACAATTCTGGATCTATCAACAGTAGGTTAATGGAATGCATAAAAGAATAGTTGTCAAACATGAATAACTCCCAATGTTAAGTCCTTTTCTTTCTCTTCCTCTTTCTTCTTCACCACCAGGTGTATGTCTCCATTTTCAGAAGGGTCTTCCCTTTATGATAATGAAAGGGCCCAACTCCTCCAAAGCCTCCATGCATTTGGTACAGGCCTCTGGACAGCACAATTCTGGTATAAAAGTTAAAAACGTACAAGAGGAACAAAGTATAATGTATATCTGGAATCGTATATACTATACGGATATGTGGTAAATACGGATATATATAGAGCCGGTGGGATGAGACAAGGAGGGGGATGCGGGACCAGGATGTGTGCATAACGCCGAAAGATCATTCATATGGAGAAGGGCCGCGGTGTCTATTCCTTTGCCCGATGTCGACACGCCGAGTCCTTGTCAGCGTGATGTGGACCTGATCCAGTGCGTCTTCTGGGGAACGTGTTCCCCCTCCCTCTGGGTGAGATGCCAACCTCGTTTCATCACCTCGCTGCACCGAGGTGCCGATTTGGATATTCAGGTTTTGATCTCTCCTGATACCAGTTCGTGTCTTCATAAAGTTCTGCTATGTAGGTGATTGTTGATCTTACTGATTTGTGAAGACATATAATCTTGAAGTCTTACAATGCTTGAGAAAACAAAATAAAATTGATAACAGTTTAGGGGGGAGAAACCAAGGGGATAAACAAGAGGAGACAAAAACCATCTTTGATCAGTTGCATATCTCATTGTTTTCAAAAAAAATTGAAACAAAAACTCAACTTTTGATCTATTAGCGATCAAAATCTGCATGTTGTTGTTGCAGATTGCCAAGAGTAGTAGTGCAAGTTCACTGAGCATGGAGCTTAGAAGCTCCCAATAGTAATTTTTAGTAAACATTTTTTGTGGCCAACAACACAGGTTATCACTAGTGTGTGTGTGTATATATATATATATATATATATATATACAGATTGTAATAATGCTATTACTGCCCATTAAGTTTCTCAATCATATTCAAATCTTTAAACTTCTCTCTCTAGACCCCCCCCCCTTAATTATTTTTCTCCCTTCCTTAACACATGTCAAATTTCTACATGATGATTTGAAATTGTTGTACACCTTTTTACAAATAGTGTTACATTTCCAAAGGGACAACTTGAACTGATGCAATATTTGGAAGAAAATAATAATAATAATAATAATAATAAATCGTCACTCTAAAGGTCTTTATTTGCATCAGAATCACTTTCATTATATTGGCCCACCTTTGAAGTCCCAAAAGATCTTCAAAATCCCATTACAGCACATTGCTGAGTTTGTTCCAATAGTGCTACTAAGCTTACATCAAAGTGATCAAATTTTAGGACTTTGCAAAAATAAAAAAATGTCCTCTAATTTTGTCATGCTAGTCAAAGAGTTCACAAAATGGTGTATGTTTGTATTTGAAGTAAATAAATAAAACAAAACAAAACAAGACAAAAATGTATGCTGATTGAAGGCTGATGTTGCAAGTGTAGTATGTTTGTAGGCGAACGTTAGGTAATAATTTCTCTTTTCAAAATAAAACTAATGGAATCATAAGTTTGTAAATCGATACATTATTTTCTTAGCATATGTTGTTTGGGATTGAAAACAGATTTGAAGTAGTTATTGACAAATATCCTTATATGTGTATACTCTTATATATTTTAAACATATTGTAATGGGATTACTATCAAAAACGCATAACAGATAGAATAGGAGTTATGTCAATTTTATCTTTTGTGAAATTATTAGGATAGCATGATGACCCATGTATTTTTAATTATTGCATTTTGCAAAGAGATTGAGCTCATTTTGTATAATTTTAACATGTTAGGTCAATGTAAAGATGAGCTTGGTATCTTATTTTATTTACTTTTGGATGTAAGTGTGGCATATCATGAGAATGTATAACATACATTTATTCTGCAAAACCCTATTAAAAACAGGATATGTGGTAGGCATTGATAGTGGTTCTTAGTCACTTCATATATATATATATATATATATATAAAAAAAAAATAAAGTTGGTCTTCATCTGTAATTTTTAAAAATAATACTTTTTAGATTGTGGTGACAAAACTCTTGTTTGCTAATCTAAATTTAATAATTATCTTCAAAAAGAATATTACAAAAAATAAAAAATACAAAGATTTTGTTTAAATTATTGAAATAATATAAAGTAAGAGCAAATACCAAATTGAGTGTGGGTTTGATTACATACATTTTTTTCCAAAGAAGCAAATTTTAATCCAATAGATGGTAAAAATTGTAACCACCTGAATAAAGAGTTCCTTATATCCTAGGCATATTTTAGTAGAAAAATATAATAATAATAATAATAATAATAAATGAATAAGTCTCTTATTTACAAACAACTCCAATTGTAATGACCTTAAATGTTTGGTGGTAATAATTGTTTGATCCTCAATTTTTTAATATCTGTTGAAGTTACACAGATATAATAAAATAAAATATAAATATAATTTGGATTCTTAGTATGCTTTTAGAAAAAACATGTGTAAAAACTCATGTGTAAAACTTTGTGTAAAACTTTGTATATTTTAATGTTGATGACATAATACAATGAAATGTCTTTTAATATAAAAGCATAAATATTTTATATAATATTCTTAAATTATACCACATTCTTTATATTAATTTGAATATCTAAATAGTAAAGTTATGTATAATCCAACAATTGTCATATGCTTAAGATATCTTTGATTTAATAACATACTATACTAAAATTCAAGCTCTTTCTTCTAACCATGGTGTTTATTATAATATTGAGATTAGCATCTAATTTTGTAAAAGCATGTTTTAAAATACTTCCATGCAATGCTATGTCCCATTTTAAATTTAAACAGATTAGAGGTTGTCAAAGTTGCTGAGAATATTTGTGCATATGCTGGATAAGAACATTGGCTTTAATCAATTATTTGACGATTTATTATAAACAAGCTTATTTTATTTTCAATAATAATTATTAGCATGCAGAAATCAATAATGGCTGTTTGAGCAGAACATGAATTGTTAGAAATTAGATCTATTTGACATAGAATTAGGAAAAACATGTATATGCAAAACTTGCCTAGTTCTAGATTAAGGACAAGAAAATTACACAGTGAGGGTGTGGTATTATACCATGAAACAAGGGAATGGGGAACTTTAACAACAATATTAAAATAACCACAAATAAAATACATATACTGAAATTCACAAATAAACATTGCTAACAACTCTCTTTGCCTGTGCATACATGCGTACATATACACATACCCATGTGCACAATGTCAAACAAATGAAACTGACTACAAACCCTTACAACTTAGGACGACCCACCAAATTCACACCAAACCCTAGCCCTAACCCCAACCCCATTTCCTCTTTAATGCCAACGACCAGATCATTATGGACCCACAACCGCCAATATCTGGGAACGCTGAGAGCACCGGATCCCAGATGAAAACATACCGACACGTGTGCGCACAATCCCGCAGCGCACATGCTGACTCAGCGCTGGAATGAGTACACGTGGCTCCCTGGTTGTGCGCACGTCAATATTACGAATGTTCTCAACGTTCTCACAGTGAAAAGAGAATATGGGAACCATTCCGCCAATTGCCCTTAAAGACGGTTGATGATTTTAGGTTGAAAATAAATTCTATATATGGACGAGAATGCAAAAGCCATATTAAGGGATACTCACTCATCTGGATAGATTTGCCTTATTATTTCTATTTCTAAGATAGTGACTAGATTTTTTGTCTTGAGTTTAATTGACTCCTTGAAAAAGTATTCTCAATATGTGACCCATTCTCTTTTAGGGGATGGTTTTCTTTTTTCTTTTAGTAAAGAAATGAGACTGTTGAGGGTAGATTTTCATGTCCTGTATGAAATGGACATTTGTTGCAGAAGGGTCACTTTCATCATACAAAAAGCCAATTTGAAACCAATGAAGTCCATAGTTGACACCGTCACCAGTATCTAAAGCAAAAATTAAAAATTAAAAATAAATAAATGAAGTGTGACAATAGCTCTTCAGCATCACTTCCTTATTTGAAGCTCAACTTCTGTTTGTTTGGAATTGATCTACTGTACTTACCATTTCATTGATGCCCAGTTAATATATATATATATATATATATATATACATGGTATTTGAATATTTAATGTCAAGGGCCAACACAATATTGTGACATTAATTTACAACTTTTGTTGTGAACAAGTGAAATACTCTGTGTCATGTCAAAATCATTTCATTTAACCTTTTTTTTTTTTTTTTTTTTTTTTTTTGTGTGTGTGTGTGTGTGTGTGTTTTGCTTTAGAGATATTAATACTGAAAACAACAATCTGTTGTCACAATTTTATGTTAGAATGATGAGGTAAAACATTTGTTGAATCAGTTACAAAAGAACAAATCTAAAGATGAATAATAAAATTAAGTTGTTTAGTTCATTGTAAATGTTTGAAACAAGCAAACAAACAACACAATGTATATGTAGTAAATGAATCAAAATACAAGTACAAAACAAGGAAAAAATCACCAACTTAAAAGCTACAACCATAAGTTATAATTGTACACCAGTCACATGCTTATCATCCGTATATTCAAAAAAATGAAGGTTGTGTAAAGAACAAAATATATGATAAAAGAGTCCAAAAAGTCTTCTCTAGTATTTAATTATCATCCAAAGCAGAGATAAACCCAGTGACAACCAGGGTTAGGATTTAAGATTAGGTTTAGGGTTCAGACTCAGTGTGAGAATTCTAGGATTTTGATGTTGAGATTGGGTGGGGACAGAAAAAGATTGGCTTTGAAGGACTGACCTTGTTGGAAAAGCTATCTTTTATTTGGATTGTAGGTATTCAACCATAAAGATAATGATTGATATCCCATGGCCAAATAGGCAAACACCCTTGTTACAGTCCCTTGTAAACAGTGATAGAAACTGTAGAATATGGAAGAATATATGTTCATATAAAATAATATCATAAAGTTTTTATGTTTGTATAGGGTATTTTCATTGTGTACATTGACTGACATACAAATGTAAACCTTGTCATGTGTAACCAATGGCACATACATGTAGCCAAAGATATGAATGTTGTGAGTAAATTCTGCATTGTAGAATGATTGCTGATAACAACAACAGTGGTAATAAATTGCATGGGAGAGGTTTGTATTGTCATTCTAAAAGTGCCTCCAAAATGGGCTGACTTCCATTTAAAAAAGAATATTCACATACTGTTTTTGTGCAAGTCCCAGTGACATTATTCATTACCTTAAAACTAAAACTTCTTCATATCAGAGTTTCAATGTTTACTTGTGCTTCAATATCCATATTGTAGAACATATATGCATATGTATGGAAGAGTTTAAGTTATAAAGTGTTTCAGTCTTAGTATGCTAATCTGGTATTTCAGTGTTATGATGATTTGATTAATTTATATATATATATATATATATATATATATATATGTATATATATATATATACACTCACAATCATAAATAATGTGAAGGTAGTAAGTTTGATGTCAACTCAGAACAAAAATTATTTCAGAATTAACAGACATTTTCTAAAATGTGCCTTCTTAAATATCTGAAACAAACTCTAAAAGACAGCATTATTGATAATTTAATCTAACACAAAAAAAATTCCAAGTAGGTTCAATATCGGCATCTTGAATTTCTAGTGTCATCTAAAGAAAGTTAAAGAGAAAAGAAAAGTGAGTGGTTTTAATATTACTTCATGTAATGTAAGCCATAAATGTAGTTGGTTGCTATTTTCATCACATCATTTTTTCTATGAATGAGTTGGAAATTTTCCAAAGTAATTCCAAATTATAAAGAAGCTGGTATTTTCTTTTCAATGACAAGACACAGAATGATACATTGGAAGTCTATTAAACATCTTGGCGAATTAGACAATTCAGTGTGTTTAAATTGGACGACATGTTACAACAGAAGATAAATAAAATGTCCAACACGTTTGATATTTTTTTAAAAATATTGACCTTATTGCATTATTTATTTACTTTTGCAGTTTTTTATTCTTTATTTTTAGTGCATACCAACTCAAATATGTAGAACATGCATGCTCATAGTAATTGTTTGAAAATTTTATAATCCACACATATATGTACATACATACATACATACATACATACATACATGTAATTCTTCCAATTATTCTATCACTTTTAACAATATAGAGGTTGTTTAGTCAAGACAAAACGGAACCTTATCCTTGCTCCTAATTGCATTACGAATAAAATTAGAACCTTATTGCAATAACTTATAAGTGACACACTGCAGAGGTTATTTAGAAACAGCTGTCTAACAAGACTTGCAACCCAAGCTTCTACAAAAAAGTCACATGCAATTTCCTGCAGAAAAGCAGCATATTGAAATCTTAAAAAGATTGCAGAAAATCAACAGATGGGCAGACAGAAGTGAGTTTCTTGAGCCTGCGTTGTTACACTGTAGTACACAATACAATATTTTATTATTCGTGGCGGGTATATCCTGACAGCATGACTGCAGCTAATGTGGCTAAAGAAGAGAAACTAGAATACAAGCAACATGAGGAGGAGGGACTTTGAGAGTGAAGTGAGCAAGGGAATGCAACTCCGAAGGAAGAGGCAAAACCGCCAGTTGTGACCCCCCGCCCCGAGCCAGACACTGTGTGAACGCGTCGAGTCAGACCCGACCCAATCGCCTGCCCCAGGTCGAATCCGCGGAAGCAATGGCACGCGGTAACGAAAGCGGCGGGGAGGGGGTAGCAGGGAGGGAGGAGATCAGAGCTGTGCCAGGAATACGACTCGCGGTCCCACAGCCTCATGGAGTGGACGGCAACTGCGCGCGCCTGAGGGAGGGAGCGTGAGTTGACGCGACGCTGCATGATTCTGGTTACTCGCCCGGCTTACAGACTGCGTGCGATGCTCCCGGTCCCGCTTCCCTTGGGATCTCATTGGGATTTTCGCTGCTCGGTTTCGTGTTCGCTCTTTGGATCAAGGCTCGCACGTGTCGACTTGAGTCGGTTGAGCGGTGTGTGGTCGGATGTTCCCGTCCGTCCGTAAGTCCGTCCGTCTGTCGGTTCCCGGAGTTCGTCGCGGCTGCTGCCCTGGCGTTCAACGCTTTGAGTCTCGCAGTTCCTGACAGCAGAGAGGGAGCTTCATTATCGGATTGCGGGTTCGTTCCGTTTTGTCGCTCATGCAAGTGGTCGCATTGGCCTCTGCGACGTGGGTGGGACGCGATACTGTGTTGTGGGATTCAATTGGAGTCGTCGTTCAGGTTCTGGGGGGTTGTGTGTCTGGAATGCTGGAGCTTTCGTCGGACCGAAATCGGGACCGGGTTTGCGAAGCAGGTGCGTTGGAAGGAAGCCGGGGGGCTGGGTTTAATAAAGTCCGAGCCGGAAACCGAGGCGAGAGTTTGGCAATAGTGGGTCGGGAGGCTGCGACTGCGTTACGTATCTCTTGCTTTCTGGTCCAGGCGTGTCGTGTAGAGCATTGCATCAGTTGCAGCTGCGGACGCTTCTCTGGATTGGGTATTCGATTTCCGAGCTCTTGTGGTTTTCAGATCTCGAGGTAGGTGGAGGAAGATTGCGCGTGCTAGCTTGCGAGTGCTGGGTGTTGGAATCTTCTGGTTGGAAGATTAGATCCTGGTTGCCGATCTTGACAGAGGGGAGTGGTCGAGCTTCATGCTTCGGATGAGGTGCTGAAAATCTCCGGGGTCTTTGGTTTTAGAAACTGCTGTTTCTGGTTTAGGGTGTCGATGGGTGACGTGTGTATTCATTAGTATCTGAGAAACTTCCCGCTTTCCAAGTTATTTACTCGGCACATGGTTTCAACGCTTAGGCTCTTGCTCCTCCCCTGTACTTTGCAATCGGGAATGTCTTCATCCTCGAGACGAACCCTCGCGTCGCCCGCATATCGTCCTTAACCAAATACCTCCGTTGCAGAGGGAACTTTGATGCCGAAATTTTCATGATACACATGGTTTGGACTTCAGGATAAACCGACAGACGTGAAGTAGCTGCTTCACGATATGACAACGAATCGCGCACTCCAATTGGAATTCCGTCTCTAGCGTCGAAAGCGTCTGTGATAGGTACGGCCTTTTCAACATCCCGAAACCATCCGGGTGCTCGCGCAAAGTTGAGTTAGAGCACAAGCTAGGCGTAAATTTAGGGTTGGCAGTAGCTTTGCTGGGATATCTGAAGAGCCTTGTGGGACTGTGCTTTGAGAAAGGATCGATTTTAGTGAGCAGGAATTTAGGTCAAGCAGTGTAGTTCGGAATGCAATCAAAATGAGGGCTTACAGGTGCTCAGGGACGTAACGAAGTGGTTACGGGACCAGCTGGGGGTGGAAACAACTATTGGTTGAACGCCAATTAAGTTTTCCACGATGAAGAGCACGTTGAGTCCAAGGGCGGCAGCGGGAGGTGACTGGTGTGATATGAGCAGCAAGTGTAAGTGTCGGTGGAGATGGTCTTCGTATGGCTTGTGCTCGAAGTGCCACGATAGGCTACAACACCGAGGGTGCGGTCTTTCCTTGGCGTTTTTGTATTTCTTCTGGACCACACTCTTTTTTGTGTTTGTGGGGAGTCTCTTCGCGTGGTTGGCGTTCTCGCCATACAAACGGCACATCGGCGCTGCTGCAGGATGCCAGCCGGATAATGAAGGATCATGGAGCATTGGAGTGTATCGTGGCAACTCTCCGTTCAACCTACAGCCGATTGAATCGGTCAGATCCATCATCTCTATGTATCTATCTATCTATCTTTGGTATTTCCACCAAATAGACTGGGTTTTAGGGTTTTACGACATTGGTTTCGATATTGTCGATTCATTACGGAGGGCTGTCCTCCAAATTCACGGCTAGTTCAATATGTAGGGCGTTTACTTGGAGCATTGGTTTTTCCGGCTGGATTATTTTATTTTATTTTATTCTATTTATCTTATAATTTGAAATCCCGGAGATAGTTACCCACATGGACGTATCATATTTTAAGAGAAGTGCTACTAGAACTCAGACGAGAGGGGTATACCATCAGTTTTTTTAAAGCTGTGAGCGAAGGCTTAGCCGCAAAAAATATATTTAACTCAAGTTCTTGTGAAACTCAATCTGAGTCAGAACAATCAGATTAGTCGTGATGTGGACCCCTCAATATGAACTATTGAGGGTCAGGGAATTAGATGTTTTGTTCTGGCACTCTCAGGCGTGGAAATAGATTTGTGTTGACGTGCTGATTTGATGTGCAGGCAAACATACGGAATAATCAAACTGCAGCCTGGCCCGTGGCTAACCCAGTCTTCACATGCGCTTCCGTTACGGACATGAGCCATCCGAGCAATTTTGTGGCGTATCCCTTCCTGTTCGCCCATGTAAGAGCGCTACGACCAAACATTCCCCTGTTGGCTACTCAGACAAAGAGTAGTGGCTGATTCTTTGAGGCACTTTGACAATGTCGGTATGATTCCCACAAAAGCACACCGATTCATCCGAAAATTTTACATTTTCTGATGGTCACCTATTTTCTGAATACAGGGAGCGAAGATGTACATGTTCTTTGAAACAAAGAATAGTATTACGATGCAGGGAGATATTGGTGTGGCAGAAAGCACAGATCAGGGTGTTACGTGGACGTATTTGGGTATTGCTCTTGGCGAGGACTGGCATGTTTCCTATCCATACGTCTTCGAATATGGTGACGAGGTAACTAATCAATCACCCACATCCAACACCTCGCATCAAATGATTTGGACTGTTCCTTGTGTTGTTTGTCACTCTTAGGATTGCTAGCACCTTACTTAATACCTTATTTTATTTTATTTTATTTCTGTTGCAGATTTACATGATGCCTGAGGGTAGCCAAAACGGAGACTTGCGTCTCTACCGAGCTGTAGAGTTCCCCTTGCGATGGGTGTTTCACAAAACCCTGATCAGCAAGCCCTTGGTGGGTGCGTCAATGGTCAAGCACGAGGGTGAGTACTGGCTCTTTGCCTCTAACTTCCATCACTTTGGGAATCGAAAGAATGGACAGCTTGAGATATGGTTTGCTCCCTCCCCTTTGGGTCCCTGGGTGGAGCACCCTCAGAATCCTATTTTGAACGGCGACTCCAGCATTGGGGCTCGTGGTGGAGGGACGCCTTTTCTGCACGACGGCGAGCTTTATCGCATCGGACAGGACTGCGGTGAGACCTACGGACGCCGCTTGCGTGTCTTTCAGGTTGTGACGTTGACGAAGGAGAAGTATCACGAGGTAGAAGTGCCATTCAACCTGGACGATTCATCGAAGAAGGGTCAGAATGCCTGGAATGGCCATCGGACCCACCACATGGATCTCCATCAGCTCTCCTCGGGTGAATGGATGGCTGTCATAGACGGAGACCGAAGTCCTGCAGGAGGCGTGGCTTCGAGGTACATCCTTGGTGCAGGCGCTCTTCTGCTTCTCCTGTCGCTCAATGTCACGGTGGGGATCCTCTTCGGATACGTGAGCTGGGTAATCCCCCTCTTGCTCATGATTCCAGGAAAGAAAGCCGAGCCGGTGCTACCTTGGGTGATCCGTCCTCAATTTCCCACACGCTTTTTCAGAGCAGCCAGCCGTTTGAGTCGATCGGGCTCCTCCCTCAAGCGGATCCGCTGGCGGTCCTGCTTGTGGTGCTTGTTCCTCCTCGCCAGCCTCGCTGTCACCGTGCTCGCGACCTGCACGGTCGTGAACTGCTTCTTTGGCGGCAATGGTGCCGAGGAGCCCTACCCTGTCGACAACCAATACTCCCAGTTCACCATGATCGCCATGACATACGAAGCGCGACTCTGGAACCTCCAGATGTACGTGAAACATTACTCCCGCTGCGCGTCAGTCCGGGAGATCGTAGTCGTCTGGAACAAGGGCACTCCACCAGACCTCGAGGACTTCGACTCCGCTGTCCCGGTCCGGATCCGCGTCGAGCCCCAAAACTCGCTCAATAACCGTTTTAAGCCTGATGAGCTCATCAAAACGAAGGCCGTCTTCGAGCTCGACGACGACATCATGATCACCTGCGACGACGTCGAGAGGGGATTCAAAGCCTGGCGCGAGCACCCGGACCGAATGGTGGGTTACTACCCGCGGCTGGTGGACGGCACTCCGCTAACGTACCGCAACGAGCGCTACGCGAGGTCGAAAAAGGGGTACAACATGATTCTCACTGGGGCCGCGTTCATGGACAGCGAGGTGGCTTTCCAAAGCTACTGGAGCCCTGAGGTAGAACAGGCGCGCGCCGTCGTGGACGACCTCTTCAACTGCGAGGACATCCTCATGAACTTCATTCTAGCAAACCAGACCGCGGGTCGCGCTGTGGAGTACGTGCACCCCGCTTGGGCAATCGATACGTCGAAGCTGTCGTCGGCGGCGATTAGCCGCGACACCCAAGGGCATTACGACAAGCGCACCAAGTGCTTGAAGGAGTTCACTCGGATCTTCGGTGGGGTCCCCGTGAGGAAGTGGGGGTTCCTCAGCCGGAAAGATGGCTGGGACAACTGATTCAGTTTTTTTTTCGGCGTCTGGTCTAGGATCATTAGAGTAGGAAAGAGTCGGAGATATCGACGATGCTTAGCGCCACGATCCGTTGTAAAATCAGTATTCGACCCTGGTGCTTCGTCTCTCTTGTATACTAGTAATTGCAAGCCTTGTCGTCCTTCTTCTTCTTCTTCTTCTTTTTCTTTCCTTTTAAAATTTTTGTTTTTCCTTCGGAGGACGGGGAAGAGGAGGATTCATGGTGATCTCTCTGATGTCAATCGATGTTTCTTCTAGCAGATTGTTGGTTTGGTTTCCATGTATTAACGCTCTTTCAGAGTCGTTGCTGCTTTGCTCCCTCGTAAGACCGGCGCTGTGGGCCGCCTCCATCGTTGCCGCTTCAGGTTAGCGGAGAGTTAATTTGCCTATGAATTGAAAAGCACAATGATGATGATATGATACATTCTAGTTGAAGATAATAAAATCAACTCTAGATTTTTTTTGCCATCAATTGTTTATGTACTCATTTTTGATCTTTTTATTTATACAATTGTGTCACGTGACAATTTCTCATTGTTTTGTCATCATTCACATACTATTTTTTGTTTGTTGATTGTGCCATTACAGCTCACAGCACTGAAATTTTACACCTTGTGGGTACACCTATGTGCCGTTTTGTACCCATGGTATCCTTATCATACAATTATCTTGATAAAACCAATAAAATACTAAGAGAAAGATGGAAGGGGAAAAAAACTTTTCTTAACTTCTTGCAGGAAAGTTGAATTTTGAACACTGAATTCTTGCAGAAACCATAAGAATTAACAATCGGTTGGAACTGCGTAATACAATTCCTTTGATTGAAGACTCCAACTTATCAAACATCAAAGAAAGCAGAATAGAGATTTTTGTATAAAATATTTCATGAAACTTTAGGCTTCACACTTGAGTTATCAGCGTTTATCTATGAAAGACAATGTGAAGCAACATTCTCTTTAGAGCTGAGATAATTAGGATTCATCTCTGGAAGACGATGTGAAGCTGCCTTGCCTTCACGGCTGAGCCTTCGGGTTCGGACTCCAGTGGCTTTTGCTCAACGCATAATGTCCAGTGCCGGTGGGATCAGAAGGAAAGATGGACATAAACCACCTCTGCGCTCCCAAATCACAAACTCCTATTGTTGACTGATTCGGAGGACCCACCAGAAAGCAAATGTAGTCGTGGTCACCTGCACAGTCATACTCTCTCATCGACGTCTCGCTCTCGAACAGGTTCATGAAGATGTCATCCGGCATTTTGGTCACTGGATTGAACACACCGGTCGGGAATCCGTTGACGATCTCCACCTCGTAAATTTCGATCGTTTTTGCTGCCTCTAGTGCTCTCGTCACTGCGTATCTGCATCAGTAGGAAAAGCCGCCGGAGATCCAATTCGTCTCAGTGTTGAACGAGCCACGCAGAGTCAGGAAGAACGATACACATGTTCACTGTGCAGCAAGTAGTCTCACTGTCTGAGTTTCGTTTCGTTTCGGTCGTGGTTCTTGGTGCGACAGATATAAACAAACTTTGTCGGTTGTGGCTGGTCACCGTGTTATTACAAATGAGTTTTACGGCTCAACATGTGGTCGATGCTGTTGATTGAGTATGAAAGTGTGAAGGGGCAGAGCCTTACACTGGACCTCCAGCTCGACACTGCACAACGCGCGGAGCTTGCAGAGGCTCAGGATGAGGCATTCCGTCTTCACCCAGAATTTCAAAATCGACGGAGTGCCATTTGAGGGTTGACGCTTGGACGTAAAATATTTTGTTGATCCAGATACGGCGGCCTCGAGGCATTGCTGCAACTGAGTGTTGCCTTCTGCTCATTCGCTCGGTTCCTTTCCGCTCAGATCCTTTCCTAGTCGAAGTCGTCACTTCTTCAACCTCTTCTTGACCACCAAGGTAGAAACCATCTTCCCTCCTCGCTATCCCTGTCTTCGACAAGCTTTGTATCCTTGTTCTCCCAACAGCCATCCCAGAGATCCATGTATCGGAGCGCGAATCGTATGTCATGAAAATGAGTTCATCACTTGCTGGGCCACTCAAACTCGATCGCTCATGATGACTGCCCACAACGTGCACCCTGTACCTCAACCTGGCCGTAGATTTGTTGTCGCCGCTGCTGGGGTTGCTACGTAGGATTTCTAAGCACGCGATTTTATCCTCCAATTTCTTGTTCGTGTGACGAGGCAAGAACTTTATCTCTTTAGTAAGCGGATTGCACACAACAAGGATAGATTGTTGTGGGTACAAACTATGATTGTAATCGTCAGCATGTGGAATCGGCGGTGTATGGATGTTCCTTTTCCGAGGCTGAATCCCGCCGTTGACACACAGAAGACCTCCGTCTCCCGCTATGATGTCCACCACGTCTTTCGGGAGAAAATCTATCCCTGGCATAGCAAGCCATTCTGAATCCCCCTGGACTTGGAAGCTCAGTTGGTTACCGTTGAATGCAAAGAGTTCCCCGCTCTTCAAGTCCGTTATCACTGGAAAGTAGGACTTGCCAACGATGTCGGAGGCAAGGGTGACATCCCTCAGGATACTATCAGCACCATCTTTTGGCGTCGCATGGAGAGCACTTGCTTCTGATTTATGAAATTCTGTTCCATAATCAGGGAGATGTTCATTAAGCTCATGGGATAAATCACCTGGTGCATCGACTGTGATTAAGTTAATACAGTTCGCGGTGCCCAATGGATTATGAGGTTGCAAAAGGTCAGAAATCGTGCCAACTGGACTCTTAGTTTGGTATCGCTTCTGCACATTTTGTGAACTTAGTTTGTCAGGGAAATCAACTTGAGCGATAGCATTCACATATTTGGTGCAAATACTCCGTTTCGCACTTTCATTGCCAAGTGGCTGCGGTGAGGGACCTAATGATCGACCTGGCCTGAGGAAGATAGTCTCCGGCTCGGTGTTAAATTCATGACCCACTACGTCCACTGCTGCCTTGGACCAGCAGCAGGACATTGGCAAAATCGAAACCCTGTAATGTCGTCCCTGTCGAGATCACTCACCCAGCTACCGTCTCATTTGCACGGAACTGTAAACTCTTCAATAACCCTACTACTTAATTGGTGAGCCCAGCTGATTGCCACAATACATACACCCATACCCCAATAGCACACATCTTCTGAAAATTCTAAGCGTCGCCCCAGAACATGATCAGGTATGTAGAAATTCCCAAAGTGTCGTCAATGGATTTGTTCTGCTATACTGAACAAAGCCACTTGTTCAACCTTCAGGAGACTTCAAAAGGCGCTGCTAGGCTTCTGCTTCAACGATTCAGAGCACTGATGTCGGCACTGGTTACGCACTTGTTGTGTCAAAGATTGAAGCAGACTGTATGCCAAAGCTATTAACTTGCTTTAAGGTCTGGCCTTTGGTTGTTCCGGTATTGGCAAGGAAACCTGCATGAAAAATAAAGAAAGGCATTGTAAAACACTTGACATGTAGACACATCCAGACCCCTCCGCACAAGGATTATGTGAGTTCTGTCATCTGGGATGTGTGGGGGCAGTTGAGCTGTGCATTTTCACCCTTTGGTGTACCATGATAGATGCACGATCAATTACACCAGGGCTTTGATACTTGTGAAATCCTTTCCGTTGAGTCATTTGACCTTTGAACCCCTCCGCATCCGTCGACCTTCTGTCCCGAGTCCAAGTGACCTGGTGACTTCATGTACCCAGGTTATAAAACAAGTCCCCGAAAGCAACAGATGGAAAAAGAATGAATCGTCTGGCTTGCATATCCATAAGTTAAGTAATCAACTGAATTTTACATTTGAAAGGTTCTTTGCAAGTAGTGAAGAGATTTTGCCTTTGTGATGAAGCCCCTGCATTCACTAGGAAAACATGATATGAACGGACTCCCCTAAAAAGTTATCAAATGTTGAATCATATCTGTTATCTACATATATCTCTCCTCCAAGTGTAACAGTGGGTGCATTCGTACCAAACGATTAGCCTTTGCGTCTGCAGAGCGGCCAGATGACATGTAAAGGGTGGAGCTCTAATGTAAGCGGAATCGGTCAAAAATGAAGGAAAGAGGACAATAAAGTCATCTCTGAATGGAGTACGCAAACGTACTATTGCACTTCAATCATAATTTTCCCAAGTTTCCAGACGCGGCAAAGATGCGGTTCAAGGTTCCAATATCCTTTTTCCTCGTCCAAGAGAGAGTTAACCTCTGCTGCGACTAAGAGTACTTCCTTCAGCAAAAGGGTTTCAATTGCCCTGAATTGCAGAAAATAGGTTGTTGCAAGTAGATAAATCTGGTTTAAACGTCAGAATGTCACCAATTGAGCAAGTCTCTAAAATCTGTACTCAAGTAACACACGATATTTGAACTCAGAATCCTCAAAGTAGATCCTCAAACCTCACCCAGTCCAAGGATTTTTCCGGTTCTGGCAAACTACGTCAATCTAAAGTACCCCACAAACACTGATAACGGTGAAGGGCACAAAATAGAGGACGCCTGCAGTCCGCTATGAGTTGGTGCAAGAAGGAAGGTCAGCAATGTGCACGCATAATGGACTCCTACTATCTTAAACCACTAGACCCGCATATATGGCAAGAGCTTCCTTCTCTTCTCGTAGCCCTAATAATCTCCAAACTTCCAATTATGAAGCTCATTGAAGTGGTACAGCACTGTAGGAGGTTCATAAAAAACCAAGTGATGGATTCACCTCCCCAACTCCTGCAGGAACATCGATCCGTAGAGTGCTTATTTCCGATCTTCGCCACGTCTGAAAGTGGCCGCATGTCGGCATTTGGTGTGAAGAGCCAAAGCTGGAAGCCAATGCCGGGGCTCGATTTCCTTCCCCACGATGTAAAACATGTGCTTGCTGGATCGGGAGGATTGATGTGTGTCACCAGCAGTCAATATCAGTATCGGTGGAGGGAGAAGACTACACAAGCACAAGAAATACTTTCCGCTAGGAAGAGCATTCAGCCACAACCAGTTATCGTCATTTGTAATTCTCTGACAAGGAAAACGCGTGTACTACCTCCCATGCCAAGTGCGCTCAGATTTGCCGTTGCACACTTGAAGATACGCACACGCGCAAGCAACTACGCACTGTATCTCGCCGGTTGGGATGAGGAAGCCAATGCAATGGTCGTCACAGTCTTCACTTCCAAGGCACAAGCATGGGTAGGATGGAGGTCGCTTCCAAATGACCTGCGACCAATCAGTTCAGCATTCCCTGGAGCCGTCTCATGCGCCGTCCTTCAGAACGAAATGTGGCTCGCCGCAGAGAACAGATGGGCAGGCTACTGGAGACCGCGAATCACAGGCTTCGATTTCAACACCCAAAGCTGGAAATATGTACTGCACTGGCTTTCTAACTATGAGGCACCGAGATTAGTACAAGCAGACGATTGCTTGTATGTAGTGTCCACGTTTTCGGAGAAACCCTTCAGCCTCCATATCTTCGAGGTCGTCGGAGCATGCGAAAGAGAGTGCCCATACAGCAACTTTGAAGAAGTCGCACAGATGCCGTGTAATGTCCACCGCAAGTTTTTCGACGTTGTCGTTAGAAAGCCTCGACCCTGCCAGATCAGATGGAAGTGTCGGGCTGATAATGGGTTCATCTTTTTCTACAATACTGAGTCCGGAGGTCTTGTTTGGTATAATATCGGAGCAGTTATGGACGGTAGGGAGAGGCCATGGGGTTTCACTGCAAACAGGACAAACAAACTCGACTCCGATTACACGACCATGGTGAACTGCATGTGGCAACCTTCTTTTGCCGCACCAGTTTGACTATGCGTTGATCACAGTACCGTCAATTGAGCATACATGCCCAATTGATTGTGTTGACACAGAACCCAATGAACGAGCTACTTCCACAGATGTAACAAGGCTGCAACGACGAGAAGGGCAGACCTGGCAGAGAGGACAAAGAATAAAAGAGAATAGAAAAGAGTGTGTAACCCAATTTGCCCCTCAGGAACTTCCGCTGCCGGGATTCGGACCCAGGTGGCACAGGTGAGAGCTGAAGTATCCTGATCTTGAAGTTGCCTACGGGGTCAAACAAACGTCGGAGTGCGGTACAATGAGTGCATCTGCACGTGTCCATGGGCCAGTGGCCGTAGGTAAGGCCAGGTCCTTCGGACCTGCCTGAAAGTGATTCTAATGATGCATGTATATAATTTTATGAACTCTAGTTTTCTGGAAGTATTGCTATGTAGTGATAAGTCGTGTAGTGAATAGTCGTGTACCTGGCTTTCCTATGGTACATCCTCTTAATCGGAGTAGTGCATCTTCCTTTGTTAGTGGGGGTGAGGCGGGGCGAGGTCGAAGTACTGTCTCCTGCTGGCCATCCAAGTGTGGAAGTTGTTGCCTTGGAGGTGTTGTCCTGTTGCTGCAAAAACTTCAAGCGTTGTAATGCTTCCGTTGAATGAGGGATTATTTCTAGCCGATTCGACAATTCAGTGCAAGTCTTCGGGGCCGTAAGGAACCGCATCGAAGTAGCGTTGCCTCATTTCATTCATGTGTTGCTGGCGTCGGAGTGTGCGGGGTGAGTCCGGTGGTTGAAGATGTCTTTCTCTTTCGACTTCTTCCAGGATTACTTCCACCTCTCGATCCAAGTCTGTTAAGCGGTTTGATGCGATGTTGATTGCTAATGTGTCATCTTCCTATGTTGTATCGTTCGGGGGTGATTGGTCATTGTCGGAAGATGGAGTGACCACTGCAGGGTTACGTAATTTGTGTTCGACCTCTTCAAAGAGAGCCTCAATGGCTAATGAAAGGTCACTGCTCCCCGAGTTCGTGTCCGTGGCGTCTGATGGCGATGCCAATTTGTGTGGGATGTCCAGGTTTGGTGGGGTAATGTCCACCGCCAGTGTCTGCGGCAAAAAGGTTGCGGGCGGTAGCCAATTCCATTTGGGTGGACGACCCGGTGTTGCGAATACCCCATGACTTTTCCAGACTTTGTTGAAGAGTACGATTAGCTCGTTTATCTTTTCAAGGGATCGGCTATACCGTGAGATGCTTCTCTATACTTTGGCTCCTATTTGAATTACTGTTTTTTATGCGTAGAAGATGACCTTACCCAGGGAGAATGTCTGTCACGAGATTTCTTCGTCGCATTTCTGAACCTAGATTGTTCCATTTCAGGATTGCTCGAAGAAGGTCCCATGGTGTGTTTCAGTTGATCGGGATTCTGGTACTAGAGTCCTAGGATGTTGTTTCAGAAATGGTATTGCGCCCTGGTGGAAGTAGTAAGCCGAATCGGATTTCTTGCCAGTTAGTATAAGGCGGTTGGAGGCCATAATGAGATCGTAGGGCTGTGAATTGGGACCATATTGGTGCTACTCGCGGGCAGCCATAGAGGGCGTGCTCACATGTTTCTATGGCGTCGTCGTGGCACAGACTGCAGGTACCTACCCATGATGCTTTGGAGCGCCATTCGCCAATCGGTAGCCCCTTGCAAGATGGAGCTATTGCATGGCTACAATCTTGCTAGGGAACCAAGAGTGCCAGATTCTTTGGATGGCTTGTTTCCTTCGCTGATATGAGTATCCTTGCTGGGTGAGGTCCTGGAAACCTTTCATTTGATGGTAACCTATGTGGTATCCCCATCTTTGTCGTGTACTCATAGAAGTTACAAGCTTTTAGGGGACCGACTTTTTTCCAATCCCATTCCTTAGGGTCCCAGTCTAAATGGCTTATTGGAACTGTACCAAAAAGCCAGACACAAGCTTTGGCCACGTACTCCAATGGATATTCCTTGGGGTTATAGTCTGATACTACGTTTTTCTTTCCCGTTGACAGGATGATACGGACGTGGTATGGTGTAGTATGTGAACCTATGGCCCTCTTTATAAAGTTTTCGGAGTGCCATGTTCTTGAAGGTTGGTGTACAACATCTTTGATCTTGAATACTCCTCTTTTTGCCCAAGTTGAAAATGTTGAGTTTGGATCTAGTCCGAAAGGGTCTCCAGTGGGTTGTGTGATAAGGTAATTTCCGAACAGAGGTTGACGAAGGATTTCTGTAGGGTGAGAGGGAGGGGCTTGCTGTAGTCCCGATTTAATTGAATTCCAGGCCTAGAAAGTTGCTTGCCATAGGGGAGACGAGCCGCGAGGGGGAGGGGTGTGTTCTGCTTGCCATTATCAAGAGCAGGTTTCTAGGCCATCTCCCTACGCCCGTCGGTTTGTTACGATTGAGGTAGTGACATGCAAAAATCTTCCAGGGTTCATATCCTGGTTGCAAGCATCTTATAACTAGTTTGGTCATTAATGCATGTATATGCAGTTTCGGGTCGAGCACTTTGGCACCTCCTGAATCAGTTGTCTGGATTAGGCCTTCCTAGCTAATTTTGGCTCTGGTGGTTGAGCCGATTTTTGCCTCCCATATACAGTTTCGGATTAGTTCCCTGACAGTTTTGAATGTTATGTTTGAAGTGGCCGAACAGGAGCTGAGATACCAAATTATTGCTAAGATGGTTTGGTTTGTTGTCATTATTCTACCAAATAAAGAAAGATTTTTTGATCCCTAGGTGTTGAGGCTAGACGTGAGGCTTTGGAAAATCTTATTGGATGTGTCCGAAGGCGCCATAAATCCAATAGGAAAGCCTAAGTAACACGTTGTACTTCCAGAGAGGAGCCATTTCATTCTTGGATCGTTTGTCCAGTTCCAAGTGCAAGGGTGTTGGGAAGCCCATATTCCGATCGATTTCTGCCAGTTTATCTTTTCTCCACTTCCTTCACATTAAATGGTGAGTATCTCCATGGCCCTATCCAGATTAGTTTCGTTTTCTTGTAGATAGAGAGCTGAATCATCAGCGTACATTTGATTAGTGGTGGATCTGCCGTCGGGGAGAGTGAAGCCGTCTAATGCTCTATTTGGGTCTGCAAGCATATGTCTGAGGACGTCTCCTGCGAGTAGATAGAGGTAGGGTGCTAAGGGGCACCTTTGCCTTACGGATCGTTGGAGTGAAAATTGTTCATCTGGAGTACCATTATCACTTGTGCGGATGCTTCCTTATTTAGTCCCATCACAAGGTCCACCCAGTCTTGTGGAAAGCCCATATGTAGCATTGTTTCTTCTAGGAACTTCCAACTAATTCTATCATATGCCTTTTCGAAGTCCAATAGAAGAAGGATCAAGGATTAGTTACTCTCTATTGCCCAGGCCATTGCTGATCGTACCATAAAGGTGTTGTCAAAGATGCATCTTCCTAGCACAAAAGCTGTTTGAGAACTTCTTTATCCAGATGGGGAGGAATGGTATCATACGATTTGCAAGGATTTTGGCGATTATCTTGTAGACTGAGCTTAGTATGGAAATCGGCTTGAAGTTGGTGAGATATACGAGTTCCCCTCCCTTTGGAATTAGACAGATCGTGCTTGTATTGAGTGATCGATACAGGGCTTTGGTAGTAAAGATTTCGGTGATCAGGCCTAAGAGGTCGCCGATTATGTCATCCAAGAAAGTTTGAAAGAACTCGATGGAGATACCATCGAGACCGGGTGATTTGCCGATAGGCAGACCTTTGACTGCTTCTCTTGTCGTGATGGGGTTTTGGTGAGCTGGATGCCTTGTTCCCTAGTTACACAGCATGGGACACTTCTAAAACAGTCCCCTCTGGCTTAATGGTTTGACTCTACTGTGTTGTCACGGGTGTAGAGCTTTTTGTAGTACGAGTCTACATGGCCTTGCATTTCCCCGTGCTCAGTTAACACTCAGCCTTCGTCCAGTAGTTCCCTTATGGTTGTTGGTTTTTTGAAACCGGTATGGTACTCAAAGAATTTGCGATTACAGCGATCTCCGATCCTGGTCCATTCTGAAAGGTGTCTATCATGTTTGGCTTCGAGGTATTTCTGTCGGTGGTTTTGGAGCTCGATCTGTGCTGTATTTAGGCTGTCTCTGGCATGTTGATCGTTCCAATCGGTTTAGAGTGCTAGTTTTGCTTCGAAAATCGGAATGAGTTGGGTTACAAACGCAACTTTACGCTGGATATGGTGTGCTGTGGTCTGCTGGTCGCTGTGTTGTTTGATTGCTTTCAAGCATTCAACGAAGCGAGTGCACCACATGTTGTACCAGACTGCTAGTAGTAGTTCTTTTTCAGTGTCATTGGTGAGCAGGTAACGGTTGAATTCTGGTTTTCGCGGAGATCTGTTATTGCGCGGTTGAAGACGGACGAAAACTGGAGCATGGTCAAATACATGAGCTAGGGTAGGCCAGATTGCCGTTTGGCCGCCGATCTTAATCAGGTTCTGGTTCATGTAAAAACGGTCCAGCCGAGAGCAGATCATGTTGGGTGTGGTGCGTCTGTTGTCCCACGCGTAAATCTTAGGAGAGACTTTGCGGAATTTGTTCGCACGAAAGCTAACTTGCAGGCCGAGATGTATAAGTAGGTCATTCCATGCAATAACTTCCATGTTCTCCCTTCCAGTTGTTGGTTATCCGCCTAATTTATCCTCTAGTTGGTCGTTCATATTGAAATCGCCTCCTAGTATCCAGTCGGCCGAGGGAAGGTGGTAGTATCGGATCTTATTCCACAGGCGGGTTCGAGAGCCTGTGTAGTTAAAAGCGTAGATGTTCAGGATCCCGATTTTGATTCGGGAGGTCCATTGAAGGGTTCCGAACTGAGCTCTACCCTTCAAAATCACGTCGTGTTCGCAGACGAGGTTGGCTACTCTTGCTGTTAAGAGTATGCCAGTGCCCCCATTGAAGCTGTCAATGTTGGCGCTATAGGTGGCCTCATACCACAGGGAGAGTCCTTTGGGAAATTTGATTTGTTTGGTGTTGGACTTCCCCTCTTCCAATGAAAGCTTGTGTTCTTGTATGAGAAGGATCTCTGGGGGGATAAGATTTCTGAAAGAAATCTCGAATTTCTCGTCGCTTACGTGCCCCTGATATATCACGTCCAAGCCCTTGGACATTAAGCGACACCATGGTTAGTGGATTATTCATGGTTGCTGTCCGGTTTGTGGGGTAGCGGACTCCCGTGTCGTAGTCTCTTTCCTCATGATTGGGTGGGTGTGGTCTTCGATCGGTTTTAGTGTCTTGCATCCCAGAAAGGAGGAGAGGGTGTTTATTTAGACCATTGTGGGATTAGGCTACTGTACTCGAGAGTATATTCTATATCTCCTTCGCCGTCCAGCCGTAGTATTAAGACCGACTGTGGGATTACGGCCAGAGACGTATCCTAGGACCATGAAGTTGGATAGTTGGTGCATCTTGCCCTTGTAGGAGTTGAGGCGATCTGGTGGGAGTTCAATCCTCAAGGGAGGGTTGCGTTCCGGGTTATCTAGGTGTTCTATCTCGTCCTTGGTTTCTGTTGTCTCCTCGTTTCCCGACCTCTGGAGGTGTTGTTTGGGGGACTCTTCCGGAATTGATGGGAGGACCGCTACCTGTTTCGGGGGAATGGTTCCATGGTGGTGATCTGGGTAGTGTGTGTGGAGGTATCGTGCGAGATCTGGAGCTACCCTGTTGACTAAGGCTTCGACCTCTTCGTATTCCGTTTTGAGGAAGGAGAGGCCGAGGTGCGGGTGTTTTCTCAAAAGGTTTTGGCCTGCTAGTCTTCGTCCTTGTATCTGGTTCTTTGTGGCTTGGAAGATTGTAAGATCCGAGTCCCCTCCGTAGTCCGTGTGGTCTGCCTCGCTGGTAACAGTATAGTGAAGTGAATCGTGTGAGCTTAAGCTGTTCCTGCGATGTTTTTGTGCTTTCCTGTGTGATTCTCTCATCTGCGCTAGCTATTGGCCCTGCTACTGTTTGTGTGGCAATGGTTTTACCAATCAATGGTGCTATGGCCCGACGGGATACCGAATTTGTGTCCATTGTGCTGGAAATGACGAAAATTGGGTGTAAAATGAACTACGATGGATTCACTTCACTATACTGTTACTAGCGCGTTGCAAAGAAGCACAATCAGTAAGCTAATCTCGCTGGAAACACCATTCCTAGAAATCCGGATCTAGTGCAAGAATGCGGCTCCGATTTTCACGGAGCTCCCCAGCCGACCCCTGCCGAGTATCCTAACCATCTAGACAACAACGGATGCGAACAACAGTGTAACCTGCCGCTGCCGATGCACCGCGCGCAAGCGTCGGAAAACCCTCTCTTTCGTGAGCTTCCGCTTGCGGTAACATCCTGCATCCAACACTACATTATACTATACTAGTCAACAATTTCTTAATTCCCGAAAGGTTGACTAAAACCAGAATCGGCTAGAGCTGACTGTTTCATTTAAAGGTAAAATCGACAAATAAAAAAATAATAATAAATAAAAATCACGTTCACAATTGTGTTGTTCGTTTACAGTTCACAATTGTGAACGTGAGTCGTAGTAAGCACGCTCGCCGCAAGTATTACAATGGATATAACTATTGAAGTACACTCGGTGAGTGTGCTTACTAGGACTCTCTTTCCATCTATTCCGCACCTATTGAAACCCATAAATCCAAAACATGATACAATTGGTTTCGCGACATCCCACCGATCATTTGTTCTCAGGATAGCTCGATACATTTTTGTACAGGTTTGAAGCCAGTAGTACGGCACTGGTGGTCTCACTTCTCTTGACTTTCACACTGTCGTTCCATTTCATTCTATTCCACGGATTTGCGCAATGTGCTACATTGTTGTGCAATTCATGGAAACTAAGACAACCTTTCCGTTCAAAAGACCCTGGACAATGTTGCATCCTTCAGAGATCGTGGCACTGAAAACCTGGTAAGAGAAAAAATAAGGTTTTGGAAGCTCATGTACGTTCAGGTGATTTGATTGCATACAATTTGGAAGATGTACGACCCATGTGTCGACAAATTGTAGATAGATAGTACTGGTTAACTTTCGTGTACCTCAACAATTTTCCAGTTCTGAAAGAGCAACATGAACTCAATGCTCGAAACTCTGTAGCAACCAGGAGAATTTATCTTGTACGACTGTATAGTTTATCTCCTCTTTCTTCTCCATACGCAAAAGGAAGCAATAAAGGGTTACGACAAGCCGTCACCGTAACTACATTGAGCTCGAGTTGGGACGTGACATTCTGCGACGTCTCACTCGACATCCAAGTTTTCAGTGCTACAACTAATGAAAATTTAGACCCACTATGGGCATACATGTCCATCCTAAAGCAAAGCTGAATCCAGCAATGTGCAATTCTCATCGAGTATTGTACTGCTGAGAATTGATCCATGATGAGAACCACCGCTTCTAATTAGCCCCCTCAGACACGAGAATGGAAGTTTGACTCTCTGGTTTTATTGTCAGCCTACAGAAGTTCCATTATCACCAGATGCAATAAGAATCCCAGGTGATTGGAGGTGCAATATACGTGAGCTCCTACAGGACACCGCTATTTGCCAAAAAATTGATATAGATGTCAGATATTGTTGAAACTGACCGGCATCATGAAGAATCTGGAGCGCTGAAAGCCTCTTGTCATGATATCATCAATGTCGAACCCATTCATGAATTCTGGATATGCAGATCTTAAATATTTAGTTTTTGTTCTCGTCAGCATAACTGTAACATCCATTTAACCATCAAAATGCGCGGGACCTCGAAAATAAAGGACATTAATAAAGCAAGAAAAATCAGTGAAACGGCCCTGTTGACTTAGCAATTACCTTGAAACGTCATCTCTAACCCACCCAGAGTACATTCTGAAGCGGAGAAACTGATGTCAAAAATCCGAGTCGAACCCGATATTCCAAAAGCCTTCAGGAGTTGCAGGAGGAAGATCACGGTATCGATGGCGAGATTTGTCCATGTGATTGCACCGAGATTCCACCACGCCATTCGCGTCTTCAGCAAGGACGGCATCATAAAATTTCTTACACAATTTACACTCAGTAGCTTGCAAAGCTTCTCTTTCAGCTTTCTTCCTGACAGGCTCAACAAATTTAAACGTAGGGACTTTTGAGGGTTGTTTCCCCGAAGAATCCAATGATCTTTTACGATTGTTCGGCATCGCTGCAGGAGCTTCATCACATTCACGATAAACTTTTCGTCAGTCCTCAAAAATTGACGTGAAATCAGACATGGCCTGTAACCATCTACACTAACACAAAACAAAATAAAGTAAAATAATGAAATTGATGCGAGTTTGATTCTAATATAGATCCAAATAAAAGAATCACACCAACTACCAAAGGGAGTAATCGTATACCAGACTTATCAATAGTTCGATCTGGTTTGCGCTCAAGTTCTACATCAAGACCTACTGCTGCGTTGTTCTTTTTCAGAGGAATCTGAAGTTTGCCCTTGAAAGCTTCAGGAGACACAGGCTCCACCTTGACTTTCGCTTCATCGTCTCGGGAGCCAGAGGTTGAGGCGGTGGGTCCAGCGATATCCTCCGCTACGGTTTGAGGAGGATCGTACACAGGGTTACTGGGAGCGTGCATGTCAGAAGCAACCGGACCAGAAGACCTACCAACTCCCCCCCGGACCTGTGCCTCCTCAATCTTCCGTCTACGAATCTTCGGAGGCTTTTCCAAGCCAGCTTCCAACGCAGCCTGAAGCTGATCTTGATGCGAAATCAAATTTCCGGCGTCCCCTTTCGATGCTAACCGTGTTTGCAAATAATTATACTGACTCTTCATACCTTTGTATTCTTTCGCAATATTCCTCATCTTCAGCCGCAGCTGCTCATTCTCTCGACGCAGACGCTGAATTTCTTCAACACTTTCCTCACTTTTCTGTTTGCTACGAAAATTCTCCTTCCCTGGCGTTGCAACACCACTGATTGCCAGGCTCCCTTGCTTTGAGACTGGCGTACGAGCCCTAACGGCTTCCGGAGTTATTGGAGCAAGTATCGGCCTACTATCATACCATTGATGTTCCGCCACGGCCTTTAGGTCAATCTCTTCAGAACCTCTGTCAATGTCATCAATCTGGGGCGGGGCAGCCACCTCAGCCGCAGCTATTTGAGATTGCTTCAACTCTGCCCTCAGCGTACGCAATTGTCCCTCCATTAACTCCCGCTCCTTTATCCAGGACGCCTGCTCATCCTCCACCCGCTTCAAAGCCTCCCGCATATTCTCAAGTTCTCTATGTAACTTGAGAGATAAAGCATCACAAATCATGATACCCATACGGTCGAGTCGCTCCCGCGCTTCGATTAGGGATACTCCTGGCTTCACCGATACGCCCTCGGTGAAGTGAGATTCGTCGACTGTTTCCTCGCCAGAAAGCACTTGCGCTTCCATTGCCACCCCTCCCAACAAAAAAAAAATGTGGAAACGAAACCAAAGAGAATTCTACAAATCGCAGCGAGAAAGAGACGGAAAACAGTAGTTAAACACTTAGTCACTGAAAGCAGAGAAAAATGCAGAAGAGAGGTACGCAGGACGAATTTGCGACTCCTGGGACACACAGACATGGCTGCCAAACGCAGGAGGGGGAAAGTTCTGCAGCAAGCCATTCAAAATTCCTTGCAAAGCTTCAACACGACGTCACAGCATTCTCCGCACGAAGGCGACGATGCGACAGGGGTGTCAATACCAAGCATCCATCCACGGGTATCAATATCGAACGAACATCGGACATGTATTGGCGGATATCAAGGACGTAGCCCGGTGTCACCACGCAGAAGACATATATTACATTCATAAGCAATTCTCCACGTGGAAGTAGCATCGACAATCTGTAGTGGCCTTCTTTGCGCTGTTAGCCGAAATTTGTCTCATCACGAAGTTTATCTTTGGTTCGGAATTGACTCAGATTTTTGGTCAGGCGTGCTACCATGTTTTGCGATCGCGAGTTGATGCTTGTGGAGCTATGTGCCTTCCCGTGGTTGCATCGTGTGCAGAGGATGGAAGACTGTGTTAGTATAATCATTGCCCTACATATTTAGGTCACTACCTATCTAATCAATATACACTACTATACATATATATATATATATATATATATATATTCAGTATAATTTACGTAGGCATTACTGTACATACTCAATATATATACCTAGTTATACATACATAGTAATCACGGTATATATTAAGTATGTATGTACTTAGTAGGATATACATAGTCAATATTATACGTATTCAGTATGTTAGTACTTAAGTAGAATATATAGTATAATATAGAGTATACAGTGAGTATAATGTACTCAGTATAATGTACGGTATCAAGAGTATTTAAGCACTATGAGGAACTAGACTCATCTTTTATGGTTTTTCTACTCATTCGAATACCTTCATAGTATCAAAGTGTAAAGAACATCAAGACCAAGCTCAAGTATGAGCAAGGTTAACTCTTAGCTTCTATGTGAAAGGCAATAATAGTATTTTTGCTTGTGTTTCTTTCCTCTTAATTCTTTTCTTTTAGGTGAGAAGACAATGAAAGTACTTACTATCTTACATGAGAAATTAAGCAAATAGATTATACAAGTAGGTAAAAGAATAAGAAAGAGCCTTATGTTTATGAGCTAATCAAATATATTTCAATAGCAAGTGAAGAGAATGGCTTATGTTAAAACTTAGACTTGTATGTCTCCAAGGAAAAACACCAAGAGTGTCATATAGACTTATAAAAGAGACTAATAAATACTTTTTTATAATATAAATAATAGTAGTGTTCAAAAACACTTACATCTACTTATGAGTTTTTAGCAATGTTCAAAAAAGATATTCAAAAGATACAAAGAGTATAAGAAACAAAGAAGACAAAAGATCTTGAGTGGATGAAAAAGACTACTAGTTTTTAGAAAAACTAATTACTCAAATTTGAGATCTAGATCTAGATTTCAGATTCAATAGGTACAATAGATAGGATTATATCAAAAGGTAACATGTTGGTAGGTGTTTCAAAATATTCTAATAAACTAATATACCTCTAAAAGTCAATCTTTATGAAGTACTTGATGCTAAATCATAATTTGTTGTAGCCAAATTTGTGGCACAAGCAACAAATACCAAGACATTTGTAAGCTCCAATTTGTTGTAGCCCATCATTGTCACAACACCAAACAAGTCAAAAGAAAAGGATATTAACACATTATATCTACTAAAAGATGTTGCTAAGCAACGAGATTACTAGTGCAAGTATGGAAAATCATTAAGAATACTATTGCTATCTATTATTGAGATAGTAAAACCAACAATCAAAGATTTGACTAATTCCTTGGATATTTGGTTAAAGTTAAAAATTCTATATGATACTAAGATAGAAGTAGGAAATATGATTATATTTGATAAGTGGAATAATCTTAAGATGGAAGAAAGATCTACTATTACAATCTACCTACAATAGATAAATTTTATCTTAAATCAATTGAAGAAAATAGATAAATATCCTAGAGACTTGACTATAGCATATAAAATCTTAAAAAGCCTACCAAAGAAGGTTAATATATTTAAAACTATTATTAGAAGTAAAGAAATAATACTAAATATTAATATATTTACCATATTATTCCTAATTAAAGAAATAATACTCAAAAATATCAATTTTAGTCAAAAATCTCAAATCTTGGAAATCATACTAAGTTATATAATAATATGATACTTTGTCACAAATATGGTGCAGTAGACCATCTAACTTATTTGTGCACTATGCCAACACTAGTATTTGGAAAATATATTCTATTATTTAAAGCTTAGAGGATAACAAACAATCACAAGCATTATTAAGCACATCTTGTGGTAATTCATGATAAAGAAAAAAGAGCTACATATACATATAAACAACCAAAAAAATAAAACATACCTTCAAAAATCTTAAAAGAAGTTTTATGTAAAGACTTAGTTATATTTTTTATTGAAGCTGTAATAAAAAATTAAATTATTAATTCAAATGTGACTCAATACTATTCTTGTGTCAAAGACATGAATTGGAAGAAGATACATAAACTTGAGAAATTTGTATTAAAATAAAAGTAAAAAAATAGAAATAAAGTAGTATGTATATTAATAGAAAATTGAAATAACTATTGCCAAAAGACAAGGAAACTAAAGACTATTGAATCTAGACTAAAAGCAAGAAAGGAATTGATAAAAGTGAAAAAGGCTTCATTCTTGCCTCTATATATACTATCTACTTAAGATCTATGTGGCAATCTTCTATAGGGCCTGTAAAAACATATTGACTTTGCATGACACATAGCTTGACTTACAAGACAAGTTTTCTATATGGTTGCCACAAAGTTAGCTTGTTCTGCAAACTAGTAACATATGTAGTATATGGATAGCTTGTTAAGCAAGTTTCTAACCTACCAATCAACTACAAACATATATAAAATCAAAACAATGTCTAAGAAGCTTCTAAAAAGCTATTCTAGCAAGTATTATAAAATTAATCTACTTTATTTAATTCTACCTATCTAGGTAATAATTACAATAAGTATATATCTGTAATATTACCCCCTTTTTCTAGGGACGAGTTCTACATGGAGTAGTGATTATATATTGAGGAAGTTTAATAGGTAACAAATTATATTTGCCACATACTCTCATCTTTGTTTTCTTTGAAGGTAGTTGATAGGTCTTCTCAGCCATCAATACTGTCCCATTTGAGGGCGGAAAGTCCATCATAAGATTTGATTATTGTTGAAACCTTCATAACTTCCTTCAAATAAAATATTTGTAACACCATTACGACTGGTGCTTACCTCCAATAGAATCATCAAATATCGAGAGACTTTTCTCAAGTCATGATATCAAACATGTTATATCTCACCATCTATTCAAGGAAGAATATGTTATTCTTAAAGGTCTTCATCCCCATAACGTCATCTTGAGGGCTAAGATAATCGTAATGTCTCATCCAGTAAGTCACCAAATAATGGCTCTTGAATTGAGTCCGTTGTCGTATTACGTATTGTCTTATTTAGGAATGCATCGGCACCTAGTTGTAGAAGGTGAGGTTGTATTTCATAAATATTCAAGAAACTCTAATTGGTTTCATCCATATGAGAAGAATATAATCTGAATTTCAATCCAAAATTACTAAAAAAAACTCTTTTTAGTAGTCTTAATCATACATAAATCCCAATTACCTTGTTACTTTCATATTTAAGTAATTTAGATTTTTCTTATAAGCCCCTATTCTAATCAATGAGCTTTAACAAGCTGTAACATCTAATGTGAGCATTCACTTGATACAAAATTTTGTATACAATTGTCAATGTAAGTCTTCTATATGCTCGAGAATTTTCAGCCCAATCCAACTTACAGATTGTGAGGAAACCTCCAAAAATTGCACTAATGTCACTTAGCCACCAACTTGAAAAGTGAAGCAAAAATCCAAGCAGTGATTTCTCCTTCTCCAACCGTTAACTTTGATTCAAAATTGGTGTGTAGCTTGATCATTAAATCCTTCAACACCATGTCAAATTTTACCTTGATCCGATTGATAGATCTCTAGATATCATAGAAACTCCACTCAACTTCAAACTGCCAACTTCCAAAATCTTCTTGTGCTAAAAACTAGATATCTCTAAATTATGCCATTAGATTATGACAAAATTTTGTGTATAATTAGCACATCCAATAACCCAAACAATATCAAATTTTGAACTGTAGATGCTACACCAATTGTAAGAATTAGCCAAAATTTCTAGCCCTAATTATATTATATAAAATCCAAGTCACCATTACAAACCCTGACTTTGAACAACGATTGCTAAGTCCTCAAAAACCTTCCAAAAACCACCCTTATGCCTCTGGAAAGAGCTTCAAGCTAGCTCTCAAAATCTAATCTTTGAACTTCAAATAATATCCTATTTTGCCCTAGGTTGTCATTTTATTGGCCAAAGGTCTGATTTCGATCTTGTCTCACAAACGGTCGACCCCCGGCTATCAATCTATCCTATCTTAAGGATTTTTTGGCCCAAATCTACTCTCAACTTAATCCTAGTATCAACTATACTAATTATTTACCTCTTCTAACTTAATTTTATCAATTTATGGTCCTTCTAAGGTAGTAGAAGAGTTTCTACAATCTAGAAGGTAAAATTACTAACTAACCTTCAACCTATTAACTATTAAGATAAGAAAATATCCTAAGAGGCTTTTATTAAAGCCATTTTTAGATACCTCAAATTATAATTGAACTAAGGTAATTAGATATTAATTAGAAATTTAATTTTGATTTTAATTTCATTATATAGTCATATTACATCACGACATTGTCAGTTGTTGATTCTCCACCTCTTTGATGCCATAATTATACAAAAACTATAAACAAAGGTAGAAAATAGAATGCATTTTTTCTTAAATTGTATTTCATTTATAGTAGAGGTTTGCTATCTTTTATGTTGATTTTGATGGATGTCATTGATGAAAAGCCTTAACCATCATTGTTGCATTTATAAGATTCTTTACTGGCTCGTATGTGCATTCACTAATATCATATCCATGCCAATGGACAAGATATTCTAATTTATTTCAGTGCCTCTTTGAGTCTAGAAATTCATTCACTTCAAATTCTTTGTTATTGTTACTTCTATAGGAAGATGTGGGGCTTGTTTTCTTTTTGGT